ATATACTATATATTATTTTCGGTAATTTTCATGAATGAAAACGAAAATAAATAAATAATAAATAACAGACTGACTCTGACTTTGTCTTTGCCTTGCTAGAGACTAGAGTCATTTTTCTTTGTATTTGCAAAAAGGAAAAAATTTTACGGTTTTTCTTATAATTTTACTTTAAGTTATGGTAAGACGTGTTTTTTTACAAAACATCAGTGTCTTTTTTATCCACAATTTGTAATAAAAAATAACATGTAAATGTAAAATAACAAGAAATAAGTGTCTAAAAATGAAGCTTGGTGAAGTCACCATTTTTCACTATTTGCTAATATCCCCTTTGTTAAATATTAAATATGAATTAATAAATATTAAATACCTATAATATAACGGCATCGATACATTCTGAGACTATACCATTGGTTCCGATTGGTTTTCCAATACTCGAACAGGCCACATACGCTGTTGATATTGATATTCACGCTGTTAATACAAACTTTTTCAAGAACTATCGATAAAAAGCCGCCAGTCAGATCCTGCTAGGGGTATTCCAATTCCAAATACCAATATCAATATACTAATTTTGTGTTCTGTGTTCGACCCGGGTCCATGCCCATATATGGTCAAGAATAAAAATCTCGTCATCTCAACACGTGTGTTTGATTTCTACTCAAAAAGTCACAAGAAATTAAGCTACGAATTCAGAGTTGTAACATTAAACGACTCAACAACTACCATCAGTGTAATGTACATTATCCGAACGTTTAGAGTGCTCTTTAGCCCCATTAAATAATTTTTTATTCAAAGAATGGAAATATTTCGCAAGTTCCATGTGATGGGAAAAATTCATAATGCTTTCAAACCAGAAATGTGTTTTTTTATTTGAAATTATCTTTACAAATAAAGCCGGGAGACAACAGAAAGCAACACTAAAAATTCCGTTTTTTTTTTCAATATTTTCGGTAGTATTGGGAATTTTGCAAAACGTCAGTTTATTGTGCATCAAATTGCCTCCATTTAGGGGACCCTGTATCTCGTGCTGTTCTTTTAAATATTCTTTCTGTCCTACAAATTGGCGCACGTAGCGTTTGAGTGAATAAAGTAACAAGGAGAACGACTGAATGCGACCGATCGATACGACCGAAGGTCGACGTCTCGGCCGACCTTCGCATCGCGAAAGCCTCCGCGTTAATAAAGAGAAAACGCCGGAGACGTCGGTTATGCTTTATGGAAATAAAATTTCGTCGGGGCGGAGACATGGGCGGGCGTTATGAGAGCAACAAGTGCATTTTATTTATGATCCCGGGCCCGTGACTCCGCCTAACTGTCATAACCGTCGTCGTGGCTGGTCCCGGCAGCGGCCGTCTGTCATAAATCTGCGCCTGCGCCCCTAATCGCTTCATATTCGCCCCCACTCTTTCCATATCTCATTTAATAATATAACTTACGCGAACACGATAGGCTCTCGCCCTCCCTCTGCTGGTGCACGCGGCGGCGACGCCGGGGCAAAGGGGAGGGATGTTTTTCCCACCCTACGCTTTAATTTTTAATTTAATTTTTCGACCTCCAACGACTGCGTTACGGTACGCGATAGCTTACGATAGTTTTAATTGCTCGTACTCACCGAATTGCCACACGGAATTTAATAACAAAGGTGTAATTTGAATTTTCGAAGGGGCCGGGAGTTTGAATAGATTTTAATAAGCCAATCTTCGGTTGTCGAAGTAAATACGACGGCAAAATTGACGTGTCATATAAAGATTGGTTTACAATAACGGCCCGCGCATTTGATTTTACGCATTCAAAATAAACTACGCGGGTATATCATTATGTTGTCCTTAGGATCAAACTGATACTCTTGGAATGAATTCCATTTAAAGGACAATTAACCAGCAAGGAAGCTTGAATGAACGACTTTTATTAGTAACAATAATAATGTTTATTTTTTGCACTTCGTATTTACATTTTCCCGCGGATCCGAGCCACTTCGGGCATTGTCGCGATTTTACCGCACGGGTTCGGGAGCGATCGTATGTTTTCGGAGATTTCACCGCACGGTTTGAATTTTGCCGTTTGTCGATTCTGACGGCCATGTCAGTGAATGTATTGTGGTGTTGTTTGTTGTGTGTTGATCTTCGAAAATTTAATTCTCTTAAAAGCTCTATCCTTGGATGATTTTTCTTTCAATTACTACCGTTTTCTTAAAATAAATTACTTAACGATCGATGATCATTTAAATTGTCTTTCCGTTGTTTATATGACATATCATATCCAATAACACATCTCTCTCTCTCTCTCTCTCTCTCTCTCTCTGGGAACTGGGAAACGATTTAAAAAAAAAGACTAAACTAACCAAAACTTTGACTTACAGATTGAATATAAAGAAAAGTTTCATAATTTTTTCTAAAAGATGTGACCATCAGTGTTTTTGCATTATTGGGAATACCGTTTGTAGACGCGGTAGGAAAACGATCTTTACGATACGGGGGAGGAGAAATAAGAGCCGTATATCGAAGATTCAAAGCGTGGACATCAGTTCAGTATTTTATTTTTTCAACGGGATATGAAACGACTGAATGAAAGTGTCGACGTTCCTCTATTGACAGCCAATGTGCCTCGCAGAGTTTATACGATATAAAAATAATTAAAAATACGGCTACAATAGTATATTATGCAACAAGTGCGGTAAACGGCATTTTGAGTGTTCAATAAACGAGTGAAAAGTTTTTGTGTGACGCCACAGAAAGAAGTCGTTCGGCTTGGTCCAGGTGGCCAAATGATTCGGGTCCTTGAGAGAATAATCTTCCCGTAATTTCTCAAATACTTCTTCTAAGGTTATGTTCCACAAAATATGGCCCAATAATGATATAATATTTACTCCTTGAGGATATCGAAAAGCTCACACCTTTTGGCAAATGTTTTATAGTTAATCGAGATTTTTTTATGCTATCAAAGCAAAATTTCGAGAGAAATCCCCAATGATGAGGTACATCAATTATCCTGTTGGCTTCCGGTTTAACAGTTTAAGAAGTCAATAGCATGATTGGCGAAACGTCAGCAAGTGTGATTTATAAACAATCGACTCAGAAGAAATCCAGAAGTTACAATTGTTAAAAACATTGCAGAATCCTACTGATTTTTTTTTCTTTAATGGTCAGTTTCTAACTATTAAGTTGGTAACAAAGGTTGAGGTTTGAATTTTAGGCCGTGGGCATTATTGTTAAGTGTAAAAAACTATTAATGAGTGTAAAGTTTTCTCATTAAATTCGAACAGTCTATAAGGGCCATTGATTATCTATTCATACTTAACAAGCTTTTTAGATTGTACTCAACTTTCACAGGCTATTTACTAATCTTCTGGATTCCTCCTGAAGCGGTTGATCATGAATCGAGTTTGAATCTAAAACTAAAAGTTAAGTTGATAACACAACTGTTACTTGGTCTCATAGTCAAGAATTCCTCCCAAATTATCCATTTAAACTGTATACAATCTAACATACGTTTTTTTCATTGAATAATAATCTCTCATTCTTAGATATTCTTTTCAATAGAAAATGATTCCCAACTAACCAAAACTGACGAAAACACATCACATCACAAAATACACTTCATCACTTGCCCCCCCCCCCCTTGTCTTTCGTTAGATTGAAGCCATCACTGACCTTATATTAAACTTTCTTAAGAAATATAACGTGAAAACCAGATCAACAACTTCGCTGGATACCCGGAGTTTACATTCGAGGCATTTGGGGCACAGAATATCGACTAGGCTCGAAGAATATGAAAGTTTCCAAACACAATTCGATAAAAGTAAAATCAATAAGCAACCAAACAATCTTAACCGCAATTCTTTATCTGTCGCCAATATGTCAATACATAAGCAGGTAAAGTCTGTTCATAGATACAAGAAAGTGACTAACTGATACGAATTAAGGAAAGACCCGGGCAAGCGGTAAGAATGAAATATGGCCGAACAGGTCCGTACTTTGCTTAGGAATTAATTATTTGGGGTTTTGTTAGGAAAAATACTAAACAATATTTATTTTTTTATGTATGTATTTAAGTTTAAATCTAAAAAAATACCATTTTTTTATTACCTACTTAAATTACTTAATATTATTCACATAATGTATCAGTATCACCTTCGCTATCATCGCCTGTTCTAATTATTATTCGTTCTATATTATTTGCAATATGGATATACGATTGTTCTGTTTTTTTCTATATGTTTAACAGAATTCGCCCGACTTTGTGGAGGGATATTAAAAACTTCGGTTTCTATAAAACATTGTTACGACGAATGGCAGATTTCAGTTGGTGCCAAACATGTTCAATGGGATTAAATATACAGTGCAAGCCTTAAAACTGTAAATTCTATACCGTATTACATCTTGAGCACTTTCATCTACACTCGAGAAAATGTCAGCATCGCTTCTTTTTTTTTTCTCGCTGAAATGGGATTATTCACAATTTTCCATACAGCTGATGTTGGAATTTTCGTCAATGTGACCGTTTCTTCTAAAGATGCTTGCTTGCTGGCACCAATGAGAGTCAAATAAACATTGTTTATAACTTCCTTAGTCTCAATAGAATAGTGTTTTCTACATTTGGGCGGGAGCATCTCCTGAAATACACTAGACTCGCACATATTTTGACTATTCAATACACACGAAATAAGAATGATTACTAATAAACTTAAACTAAGTAGTATACCAAACCAAAGAATATTAAACACAGGTAAGTATAAACACAATTTTACCTGAATTTAAATTCCGAAACTTTAGGTAATAATCTTGTTGCATTGTATGTTAATGACCACCCTTGGATAATCCCATTCACTTTCTTATATCTACGAACAGACCATACAGCTCTGAAGAAGGCAACAGGACTATTGGCGAAACGTCAGCTAGTCGCAAAAGATATGTAAAAAGTATTAGAGTAGCCTGAAAAAAAAAACGGTTTGTTTGCATGCGCGCCAAAGTGGTTAGTTTTATCGGAATATCCTCTTGCAGACACCCTCGGCGCTACCGACGTCCCTACGGACCTCTGTGACGTGCTCATGTGCCAGCGTTGCCAAGAACAATTCACCGAGCTGCAAGAGTACCTGACGCACAAGGACGAGTGCGACAAGAAAGCCATCAAACACGACGACCCCGCCCACTCCGACCCCGAGGACATGGTCATCTCCGAGGACGACGACGAAGACGACGTCGTCGGCGACTGCAAACGGATAGACTACGCTAGACGCAATCGTCAAGACGCCGCCAACAACAACAACGGCGTCGACGAGTCTCCCGAGAACCCCGACGAGCATTTCGTCGCGGGACCCGCCGCCCCCGGCCACGTCACCCTCGAAGCCCTGCAAAATACCAAGGTGGCGGTCGCCCAATTCGCCGCCACCGCCATGGCCAACAACTCCGACAATGAGGCCGCCCTCCAAGAACTGGCCGTCCTCCAATCGACCCTGTTCACGTTGCAACATCAGCAGGTGCTGCAGCTGCAGCTGATCAATCAGTTGCAGCACCAGCTGCAGATCGACAGGCACAAGGAGGACGAGACGCCCGTGTCGCCTCCCCCTTCCGAATCGTCGCCGCCTCCGAAGGAGATATCGCGCGAACCGTCGCCGGCGGTCGAGGTACCGCCGCTACCGCCGCCCCCGGCTCTACCGGAAACCGACGCCCCGACGATCGCGCCGCCTCCCCAGATCCAGCCGCCCATGTGTTCGATATCGTCGTCGCTCGCCTCCACCATAATCACCCACGGCAACGATCCTCCGTCGCTCGACGAGCCCAACACCCTCGAGATGCTCCAGAAGAGAGCTCAGGAGGTCTTGGACAACGCGAGCCAAGGATTGCTCGCGACTAACCTCGCGGACGAGTTGGCGTTCCGAAAGAGCAAGGGCTCGATGTCGCCGTACGACTCGAAGGGCAGGAACGAGCCGTTCTTCAAGCACAGGTGTCGGTACTGCGGCAAAGTCTTCGGTTCCGACTCCGCCCTCCAGATTCATATCAGGTCGCACACTGGCGAACGGCCGTACAAGTGTAACGTGTGCGGCAGCAGGTTCACCACCAAGGGCAACCTCAAGGTTCACTTCCAAAGGCACAGCGCCAAGTTTCCCCACATCAAAATGAACCCGAACCCCGTGCCCGAACACCTCGACAAGTACCATCCACCGTTACTCGCGCAGCTCGGTCAACAACCGTCGCTGTCTCCGGGTGGACCCCCGCCCCACCCCCACGTCGGTTTCGGCGGGTCGCATCCCGCGTTCCCCGCCGCCCCCCTGTCCTTGTACCGCCCCCAGATTCTACCTCCGCCCGAGCTGCAACCTCCTGCGCAGCGCGTTTTCCCTCCCCACCCGTTGTTCATCAAACGGGAGGAGCAGGACGTCGCGGCGGATTTGAGAAAACCGCCCCCGGTGTCGCCGCCGCCGCTCCCGATCAAAAACGAGCCGGAAACTGAGACCGCGACGCTGATGCCGAAGCGGGAACCCCACGAAGCGGGCGACAACGAACCCGAGCAGGAGCAGGACGTCGAGCAGGAGAGGTACGGGTCTCCGCCCCCCTACGACGACTGCAGCAACGATAGCAAGTACAGCAACGCGAGCCACCTGCAGGAGGAACCGGAAAACTTATCGAACCGGTCGGGGTCGGTGACCGCGCCCTTAAGCATCTCCACGGGGCAGAGATTGCCGGCGGGATTCTCCTTCGGGCAAGCGAGTTCGCCGCCCAGCAGCACCTCGTCGGGTAGCTTGAGCACGTTCCCCAACAGCCATGTGCCGGACATCACCAAAGACCCCGCGATCTACACGAACCTCCTGCCCAGGCCGGGCAGCAACGACAACTCGTGGGAGAGCCTCATCGAGGTGACGAAGACCTCGGAGACGAGCAAGCTGCAGCAGCTCGTCGACAACATCGAGCACAAACTATCGGACCCGAACCAGTGCGTGATATGCCACAGGGTGTTGTCGTGCAAGAGCGCGTTGCAGATGCATTATCGTACCCACACGGGCGAGAGACCTTTCAAGTGCAAGATCTGCGGACGCGCGTTCACCACCAAAGGCAACCTGAAGACCCATATGGGCGTGCACCGAGCCAAACCGCCGATGAGGGTGCTCCATCAGTGTCCCGTCTGCCACAAGAAGTTCACGAACGCGTTGGTGCTCCAGCAACACATCAGGCTGCACACGGGGGAACCTACCGATCTCACCCCGGAACAGATCCAAGCGGCGGAAGTGAAGGACTTCCCCTCGTCCGCGGGAGGGTTCCCGTCCATGCACCCGTTCCTCGGGCAGGGGTTCCCGGTTCCGGGGCTTTCGCCTTTGGGGAACCCGATGGCGATCAACGTCAAGTTCGACCGAGACGGCAGGTCGGAGCACGAGAGCATGGAAGACGACGACGAAGACGACGACGACATCAGCACTTCCGAGAATCAAAACGTACTGCCGCTGATGAGTTCGTCGCCGCCCCCGTCGGAAAGCAATCACCATATCAGTCCCGTGGCGTCGCGAAGTCCCCAGGACATGCGGAACGGGGAGAAGTCGCCGAGTCCGGAGAGCGTCGGGGGTGCGAGGTCGCCTCAGAACCAGGTGCCGGTCGTAGGGCAGGTGAGGGCTCGGAGAAGGGTTTAGGAGGGTTTCGAAGCGATTCGGTTCCAGGTACCGCGTCCGCCTTCGCCGCCACAAGGCGGCAGCCCGACCCCTTCGGAGTGTAACTCCATGGGGGCGTTGGATTTGACTCCGAGGCAGAATCAAAATCGACCTTTGACGAGTCCGGGCGTAAGTCCGGGCCCTTCGCCGTCGCTGTTCTCGGCGTTCGGCATCCTTCCGCAGGGCGGCCAGTCGCCGCTCATGTCGTCGGCGCTGTCGTCGCTGACCTCGTCGGTGCTGACGTCGACGTCGTTCAGCCCGCTGCGGCTCGCGGTCGGCCCTTCGGGAAACCTGGGTGAGTGAGCTAAGCGGCCCGAAGATTTCCGAAGCTACCCGAATCGGTAGCGAAAAACGCCGACTGTTTCGGTAGCGTTTTTTTGTTCAAAATCCTGGAATAATAATTTAGCACATATTAGGCAAGATGTCCGCTCCTTCGATTTTGATGGTTTTTTTGATAAATTGCAGATCGATTCCTGCGTCAAAAATTATTATTGAGATTTTAATTTTAACATATGCGGGGTGCAATTTGTGACGCTCTATACCTTACCTCTTACCCACCACTTCTTTCTCCTGTTCTGGGTTTTTCTAGTGCAGATCTCTGTTATGTAACTAATATATACCTTACAATTTCTTACCTCTCTTCTTTTCGACCATCCAGTTCGAAGCGTTTCTCTCCCTGGCTCCTTTCTTCTCTATCTCGGGTAAATGCATACTTGCTAAACAAAGACGTTTCAACATTTTACTATATATACAAACTCCTACGTCTTTCTGCCTCTTTTTAAATCTACGTCGTCTTCCCCTCTTCCTTTCCTCTCTCTAACCATGACCATGATACTAACGTGTTCTATATTCAGCAAAGAGCTCAGTTCTTCTCTGTTTCTCTATTTCAGGCGTGTGATATGTTGCTCACATAGAACTACAATCTCTGCCTCTATTCTTCTCTACCCTAGTATATAGTTATATCAATAGAAAATCACACCTAACATTGGGTCATTGTGTTTACAGAAAACCCACGCACAGCTTAGTGCATTGTCAAATCACCATACGGCCTAAAAGTCATCGGTTATCAACTCTCTTCTTTACAGACCCGTAAAACTATCTCAGCCCGAGACACTGAACCCAGAATTAAAACACCTTACCTCTGCTCTTCTCCCTAATAATTTCCACATTAAAGACATTAAGCGTTTCATCACAAAATACACATCACCACAATCTTCCAATAGCGATGAAACCGAAAGCAATCCCACACTTGTCACTGTTGTTCTGCCATACATTCAAAACAACGCTGACCACATAACAAAAATTCTAAAGACATATAACGTCAAAACCAGATTTACCACTTGTCCAAAAATCTCTCAACATCTTCGATCCGTCAAAGACAAAATTCCATTTGAGATGCCAGGAGTTCACTGCGTATGCGGCAAAGAATACATTGGAGAGACCGGACGAAAAATATCAACTAGGCTCAAAGAACATGAAAGAGCCTTAAGAACACAATCTCGAAACCGGACATTAAATTTTATTAAACAAAACTAAAATTCTCGCATGTAATAAATTCTTCTTCTACTAAGGAAAAATTAGGGAGTCTATAGAAATCTCTAAACAATCTTAACTGCGACTCTGGTCTCTACCTGTCACCAATATGGGAATCAGTCATCCGAGACGGTGTCTATGCCCGTCATTTAGCTCCGCCCCCCTCTAACAATATAGAAGCAGGTACGGAGTAAAATACGAGCCAGTTTGAGTCAAGCTCTGAAGGACCAACAGGATGATTGGCGAAACGTCAGCAAGTTTGACTCAATCCAGAAGTTTTGTAAAAAGCAGAATCTGTAATCTTTAAGACGAACCTATGATGTTATATACATATAAATATAAAATAATATAAATCATACTAAAATAGTTGAAATCTATTGTTTGTAATTGCACTTAAAACAACTGCGATAACAATGGTTGCCATAGTAACTAACATTCATGGCATACTTAGCGTTAATCACATTTTTTATTAATCAAGAAATGTTTACTTTAAATCGGTATAACTTAGAAACGGGTAAAGTAAATAAGTTTGAGTAAATAACAAAAAAGTTTTTAAATAATATGTACTTTTGTATGCGCGTATTTCCAAAGTCTCTGCAATCGAATAATTTTTCGACGCGTCGCGACGCCCAGCTCTTTGCAGGCGTCGAATTTTTTAAACTTTAGGAAATATCTACTTGACCCCGCACTTTGACTACTTTTTACATAAATTAAATATTTCTTTTCGTTTTGGACTTATTGGCGTGCGGAGTTTTAAGTGAAAAACCCTGTATTCTAGATTCATGTTGTTGTAGCTCATACAGACCTACAATCTCTTGGTCCCTCCTCCTTCCTCCATTAGTATCTCGCCAGTTCGAAGCCCTCGTCACTCCGACTCTTCTTTGTCTATCTCAGATAGACTTGAAGGCTCTTTTGCATTTCCCTTTGCCTCTTCGGTTATGGTTACGGTGGTTATCTATTCTACGTTTATTGAGCAAAAAACTCCCCTTTTGCTCTTAGCTCAGATAGGTCTATGTCACCTTTTTTAGAGACTCTCGTTACGTACGTTATCGATTTACAATTTAAAAAATAAAAAAAATCTAAGCTCTAAGAACGGGCCAAGTACTTATTGGTCGTTTTTTTCGCCACAAATAATCGATGTCATCGATTTCGTTCGCAGGTCGAGGCAACACCACGTGCAACCTCTGCTTCAAGACGTTCGCGTGCAACTCCGCCCTCGAGATCCACTACAGGAGTCACACGAAAGAGAGGCCGTTCAAGTGCACGGTGTGCGACCGCGGTTTCTCCACCAAGGTAACCGTCCGAAACGTCTAATTCGGTCGACAATGGACTCGGATTAACACTTTGGCACCCGGCCAGCCATAATTTATATCGAATTTCCGCGCCGTCTATTTTCGATCGAGAGAATCCGCGTTTCTTTTCTTTTTTTTTTTTCTCTCGTCCCGACCCCGGCGCGTCCGCCTTTTTACATTGCCGACCGAAACTGCAGACGGATTCCGGGGAATGCGTTATTTTCGCCGCCGGCAATTATTTAATATTTATTAGCGGCGGCGTATTCGTTTTCGATTAAAAAATTCGCCGCGAGAGAGCGCGAGGACGTCGCGTGACGGATTCCCGGCTCCTCACTTTCGTGAACTTTCGCGCTATTTATAAGCGCGCGATATTATTCATCCCGACGCGACGAAAATAGACCGCGTTGCCGACATTCTTCGCGACGTCGACGCGGCGGAAGGGACTAATCATCGTAGCCCCAAGTAGCCGAATATGGTCTCACATCTGCTTTTCTTTCTTTGCTTTTTTTTCTACCTCAGGTAGACCTACACAATGATATCATTCTCTCTCTGTAGCTCAAAAAGGCCTAGGTCTATCTTGACAGGTCACTCTAACTCTTTCTTCAGTTCGTGGATCATAAAGTTATGGTCATATATTTCTTTCATAAGTTCAAACCTCAGATATTTAAATTAAATAGACCTTTATACGTGGAGACAGACATGTGACAGCTCCAACTCTAGCTTTACCGTTTAACGTTCTAACAGCTTCATGACCAACGTCATTTCAAAGCTCGCGTTGTTTTCCGCTTCCCCTGTCCTCTATATCTACCTACATAGACAAATGTTTGTTCATTTGAAAGATCTTTGTTTCCCCCTCCAACTCTTACATATAGCTCAGATAGAACCACTCCAGCTCAGAGAAACGCACGTCTCCGTTAGTAAGTGACAGAACTATCAAATATCATTCGGAGGCTCCCCTTCCCCCTTAACCCTAACATATTGATACTGAGAACTTCTTCCCTCAAATGAACCTATACATCAATTTACTGGTCATACGTTCGTGTGTCACATATTCTGTTTCACACCTCTAACATGTTTCCTCTGACTGGCATCGTTATTTCCTCCTCTAGCTCAGGATCTTAGGTGGTAGGTGACAGAACTAGATATTTAAAAAAAGTACACGTTCATTTGAAGGCAGTCTCTCTCCTTTCCCCTGTACCATCGTATGCAATTTCATTTTAAAACTCTTCTTCCTTTGGCTGTTTCTTTCTCCAGCTCATATAGATCTTAAGTCCTAAGTCTTTGCATTAAATAAAACTCTCCCCCCTACCCTTTGCCTCTTCATTCATCTTAGACCACCTAAGCTGCTTCTTCAATCTTTCTGCCGTTCTTTAGCTGAGCTAAAAGTCTTTTATGTCCCATTATTCATCATACAAAACCAAAATACTCTGGGGCAAACCGCTTGCTAATGCTTGGGCGTAGATAAGCTTCATCCCTTATGACAGTAGTCACCTTCATACCTCTAGATAGTCGTGTTTGGTTTTCTAAGAGTACCATTGATACGAATAGAGCGTCTAGATCGATTGATAGACTTTTATGTCCATTTATCATTATACAAAATGAAAAATACTGCGAGATAAACTTTACACTTCGATGGTGGTCACCTTCATCATTTGTGACTGTAGTCACCTCTGGAAGAACCAGGTCCCTTCCGAAGGCTGGCAGAAGGGTACTACACAGACTTATCAGGAGTAGCAGATGGATGAAAAATACTTTGAGGTAAACTTCTCGAGGGTAGATAAACTTTCCAATGCACTATAAGAGTCATGTCCCTTCAGAAGCGTGGCAGACCTCTAGATAGTTGTGTTTGGTTTGCTATGAGTACCATGTCCATTTTTATGTACATTAATCATTATACAAAACCAAAAATACTCTGAGGTATAGTTTCTGAGACACTTCGATCACCTTACTTATAGTCGTTAAATAATAGTTCTTGGTTTTCTAAGAGTAAGATAAACTATCAGACACTTCGATATCATACGAAATGAACGCTATATAGTCGTGTTTGGTGTTTCTGGTGTCTGATATGAGCGTGTTTTCAGGATTGTTGTGACTGCAACAAGCAGAGGCGTATCCAGGAGGATACAAAGCCTTGGAAGGCTCGTAACAGACCTCTTACCACCTGCACGATCCCTTCAGTATTTCCTTTACCGATGAGCTCCGGATACGCCTCGACTTGGATGCAGATGGCGGTAAGCCAACGTAGCCGCATGCCGTAACACTGAATACGCGGTACCGCCGAGCGGTACCGGTATTCTTTGCTACGATGAAGCGGTGGTACTCAGTAACCGGGGATTCTTGTTCCAGGGCAACATGAAGCAGCACATGCTGACCCACAAGATCCGCGACATGCCTCAGCACATGTTCGAGAACAAATCATCTTCGGTGAGTTGCGAAGACTCGACGTCGTTGCCGGCACGCGAACAATCGAACGACGGTGACGTCGCGTTGCCACCGACGCCGACGACGCCCGCCCAAAATCAAATGCCGACGCAGACATCCGTCGATCACGGCGAGCAACAGTCCCACGCGAAACGGGAATCCACGGAGACCGAATTGCCTTTGCCGAAAAGGCCGCCCAGCAGTAAGTCGATTTTTATAACGTTGAGGGATTTTTTGCACGAACCGGCAATAGCGCGACGGACGCGGCACGGAAAAGAACGCTCGATTGTGTTGGAAAGCAGTGGTTAGATGTTGAGAAGAAGAAGAAGAACAAGTTGTAGAGGTTATTTGTGTATCCTCGACGAAAGTCGGCAATGGGCGAATGATCATAGCAATCTTGCCCAACTGTTTTAGTGAAACGCATTATTGAATTGAATTACATAATTACTTATCTTAAAATCCATTAACCTCTACAACTTATTCTTCTTTTTCTCAACATTCAACAACTACTTGCCACCACCCTGTCCTTGATTATTAAAGATTGTATTTAAGTAATTTTGAATAGTAATTAGTAAAATAAAATTTCGTCATTTGGTACTAGGAAATGTGTTCAAGATATTTCGAATATTATATCACCATTGTTACCATTGTTAGTTATATATTTATTATTTTCAAATAAAGCACAATCATAAGTTTAAACAATAATTTTATTTAAAAAAAAAACACATTTGTATCTTGTATTTAGTTGGTTACATTTTGCCTTCAATTACTTTCAAATGCTTCTAAACATGAAGCGTGTATGTGGAATGTTGGCCCAAGCTTCTCTCATACCGTCGAACAGTCGCAATGTTGGAAAGTTCTTGAACCTTTTAACGATCGAGTGTCTAAAACGTCCGACAGAGGGCGTAACAACTACCACCAAATGAAAAAAAAAACAGTTTTTTTAAAATAGAAATTTCCTTGATGAAGATACATGATGATATGAGAAACAAGTTAAAGAAGCATGAAAAGCATGTCAAATGACGAACCCACAGAGTAAGATGACCTAAATTTTTTCAGATTTATTTTATCATGTTTCGTTCAGAACTCCACAGATATAAAAATGCGATTCAATTTATCTAAATAATATGGTGGCATTAGCGTCCTCTAGGAGCAACCTTTAAAATTTGCAATTGTTATGTCCAATAACCTAAAACCATAAAAATTTATGAAAATCTTCAGAATAAAATTAAAACCTTTGGCCTCAATCATAACATTTTGGTGTCTAATAAATCCAGAATTCGCAATGTCCCTTACGAGGCGTGTCTGAAATTCTGACATAAATCAGATATTCTGACCTGTTTCTGATAAATTCTGACCAAAGCAAAAAATTCTAGCTTGTTTCTCAGAAAATTCGACTTAAGTCAGATATTTTGACTTTTTTCTAAGAAATTCTTACTAAAGTAAAAAAATTTTACTCGTTTCTCAGAAATTCCTACATAAGTCAAATATTCTGACTTGTTTATCAGAAATTCTGACGAAAGTAAAGTAAGAAATAAATCAATTTCTCAAAAATTCCGACTTAAGTCAGATATTCTGATCCAATTCAGACTAAAGTAAAAAATTCCGACTTAGTAGTAGCGTCGAACAATAATGACCAGAAATATACGCCACTAGCTTTTTTTGAAACCCTTTTTATTTATTGCCTCTTGAAATTTTCCTGTATCTTTCTTTCCACCCCAAAAAAAAAATAGAAACCACTTCATTGCATGCCTAGTGATTTTAGAGTTTTTGTTTTTTTTTTTTACTTAAAACTAAGAAATATACGAAAAAATATCAAGAAGCGACGAACGTGTACTTTAATTGCTTTAATTAGTTCTTGAAATCAGCCGTCTCTTTTTGTGACACCCCGTATATGTGCCTATGCGAGGTTATGTAAATTTAAACATATTAGACACTAAGCATTTTAATTAACATAATATTATGTGCACCGATTTGGGACAACACTCTGTACATTAACAATAGTTTCTTTTGAATAATAGTTAAACATGCAAATACTAGCAAATTTATTCTAAAAAAATGTCAACCTAGTTCATTCAGAAATTATATGGAATTAAACGTTAATATTTAAGGCGCCAATTTATGTAAATAAATATGGAAAAAAGGCGTTAACAAAGATAGCGTTTCGCTTGCACTAACCGAGAGCTAGGTTGCGGGCTAACTTGTGTGGTGTTGTGTGTCGTTGCAGGCTTGCAAGCAAGTAAACACTTGTGCCACGTGTGCAATAAGAACTTTTCGTCTAGTTCGGCCCTGCAGATTCACATGCGCACCCACACGGGTGACAAACCTTTCCGGTGCACCGTGTGCCAGAAGGCGTTCACTACCAAGGGGAACCTCAAGGTACGTACCGCAAGTCGCCAGACTTTTGCTTCGCTTGACTAACGCCAAACTTGCCTACACTAATCGTCACCAGGTGGCTCTGCAGTCCGTGGAAACTCGGGACCCACTTAGAGGAACAATTATACTTTGCCTCAAGCGTAATAGAAAATATGACAACACTAAATAAATACAAATTATCAATTAGCTAAATGTGTAGGAATTCTTGTTCTTGAATCTTCATTTTTAAAATGTGCTGTGCAGCTCTCAACAGGTATATTATTATTGATATTTCTGTTCTCACATTTGGGTGATGGCGTTTAATATACAATGATACGGAAGAACAGATAAAAGGGTATGCCCCATCTGTTTAGCTAAACAATCTTATACATGTTCTTCTTTAGTAGCATATGAATTTAACACTTTCCTTTTCTTATTATTGGGAAACCAGATATCTCTGGCTAGAGTCCGTCAAAAGTTAAAACGATGTACTTTGGGACACACTTTACCAATCAAGGCTAAATCGAGATGCAACTTACGCCACAGAATAGAGAAACACCATATTAAAAAGATTTTGACATATTTATGCATATTAGTATTTTAGAATGAGTAGAAAAAAGCTTAAACTCAATCGAATGGCACTCAGCAAGTTCATGTTTATTCTGCCTCACTTCTTACCGAACAGAAAAGAGTTTCTTTTCATTTGCTACTATTGAAAATGATTGCTAGAATCATTCGCCCAAAATATGAGGTTAGGATGTTGATTAGAGTCTATTCCTTCGATTAAACATCGTAAAAACATTATTCTATAAATGACCGCGAGTTTAATAGTTCAAAATACATTGTTTTGGATAAAAATTAATTCAACGTAGTAAGAGAACTTCATCTTTATTTCTACTGGCCAAGTTTTTCAGGATCATTCGGCCAAAGAACCATATTACAGCATCAAATAGGTGCAGAATGTAAAAGCGTCAAGATACCTTGAGCGAAAAATTAAAAAAGAAACCTTTTTATTGAGGGAAAACATTTTTTGTTGCAGGTGCACATGGGTACGCATATGTGGAGCAACGGGGCATCGCGCCGAGGCCGACGCATGTCTCTCGATCTGCCCCCCATTCCCATGACGCCCAAGGATTCCGAATTTCTGCAACGGAGACCCGACCTCTTCTACCCATACCTTCCAGCTCCGTTCCTTAACGGGATGCAACAAAAGGTAAGCACGATTTGTCCTATTATTTTGCCTATCTTTTATTTTATTATATTTATTTTAAATTATCTCCAAGCGATTTTTATTCAAAAAGCGATTGGAGATTTTTATGACAATATGGCGAATGCGCCAGTTTTTTACCAACCACTAAATGCAAAAGTTGTTTATCCTGCATGTGATGGAAGTAGTTCCTATTATACAGAGCATCTTACAAGTATATCAAAGCAATAAACTCATATTACTTCAAATAGGATATTATATTTTTATATGGTGTAATAAATTGACTATGCTTTTCCCTATACCTATTTTCTCCGTTTACTTGTTATTTTCTTATATTCAGGGTTTCTTATTTTTTTAAAAGTCGTAATTGGTTTGAAAAACGTACCATTACCAGATTGGCCGGCGTTTTGGCAACGCCCTGTGTAACTCACAGAATAAAGTGGTTCCTATTAACGTAAAAATATACTTCCTGCCTATCCATTTAATTATAAATTATTTAAAATAAAATTTAATGGAGGAGCGCCCTATGTATTGGCGGATGCGCCGGGAATACTATATATATTTTATCCGTATTTGCAGTTGAACGAAATCACGTCGGTGGGGCCGAACCAGAACGGCCTGACTCCCACCGCGAAGTACGGAAGCCTATTGGGATTCGGATACCCGCCCCCCGAAGCTATTCCGTCGCAGGCTAACTCGCCGGAACGAGCCTCCGACAGGCCCCCGAGCGAGTCCGAGGCCAAGGCCGGCCTCTGGGACCTGCACTTCCAGCGGAAGAACGCGGAGGCGGCTCGCGAGGACCTGTTGCCCGCGTCCAGGGAAGGACTGGCAGCTTAAAAATCTCCTGGATCAGCGTGTTCCTATTATCGACTAGTCATGTGAAACGAGGTATTTCGGAACATTTCGAGAGTCTTTTCGAAATAAATCAAAATATGCAGATTTCGAATTGAAGGCAAAACTTAACAAATTGAACGGTTTCTCTTATGGCCTTATGCTGTTTTTAAATTATTGCTAATCAAAACCCTGAAACTACCGAAAGACGTAGAAGAAAAGTGACGTCATACACACCATCCGAAATATGAGTGACACACCACAGTTTATTTTCCAAAAAGTTTGGTGGTGCCCTCTATTACGCAACACATGATATACAGTTCTGGCAAATGTCTGCTAACTTTTATTAAAGTAATATAATTATTTTTTAAATCCTTCTGGAACCAACAGAATCTAAGTCAATACACAATAGAGGTTATATCGACAGTATTCCAAAGGTTTAGTAATATTAGATGTGTATACAGTAGATAAGACAAGACCCAGATTCTACCGCACACAACATGTCACACTCAGATATTCAGACATCCATCTAGCTGCTTTCTTTCTGATAAAAACGATTTTATCATAGCATCAACACAACATGAAACTCGTATAATCTAGCATTACCAACACAGTTGCTGCACTTCATCCTAAACTGTTAACAATAATAATAATAATTAAAACGCAAAGCTTAGAATAATCCAGAAACCACAAGGCAAGAACAAATGTAAAAACCGAAACTTGTACGCAATTCAAACTGATTGTATGCAAAGCAACTTGGTTCACACTAATACTGAGACAAACATAGACAAAAGTATATGTGCCACCTACCGGTAGTTGTGGGAGCAAAATCCAGCCTAGTTGCCTAAAAACGGATTTAAATGGCAAGCATTTAAGTTACTCCAATATTTTGGATCGTGTCTTAAACTATTCGTCCAACTAACGTCTGCGATTTATATCAGTTAACGCGAGTGACCTCATCCGGCCCATTGGAAAACCGTAAATTGTTTAGTCCCCCGATGGCATTATTATGGACTTTATATATTTTTATATAAATAATCTTCTAAAGTTTGACCTTAAAGTGTTTTAAAAACGTTTGCTCCAAGTTATTCTTAGCTTTCATCAAAATTCTTTTCCTCTGCGCGCAGTTGTCGACGCAGGGTTACGTTAATACGTTACGTGTTCTGTGATCAACATTGCGAACATTCCTTTAACCGTCGTCGTTCGCGTTTAAGTTTCGCGAGTTCTCGACCCACCCTTCCGAAATACCTTTGTCAGAAACTGTTTGGGGCAATGCATACTGTGATATATCATTGTAAAATATTACTTACATATTCTACTATGTGTAATATTTAAAACATTACGGCTAATTCATTTACACTGTATCATAAACGTAGCGTAAGATTCCTATGAAGTTATAGTTGTTATTCCGTGAGCGTTTCGATGTGAGGTTAGAAAGGCGCCTCGTCTCGAAACGTTCCGCGGAAAATAATCGTTCTCTGTGTTACAAAAGCGGCGATGCCAGTATTTTAGCTTTATAGGAGGAATATCATTGAGGCGTGTACATACTATAAGTGTAAATTGTATTATTACATGTTGTCCACTTCGTTTGGCATGTTCGTGATCTGAAAATCATTCTATGTAAATAGGTATCATTATTATTATTATTATTATTATACGTATGTGTAAAATAAGACTGTTAAACTTATGTTGCTTAGTATTAGTACAAACATCTACGTTTCGTTCCCGTGACAAGACAAGAAAAAACAACACTACCCGTATTTAGCGTCTTAAATTTAATTTTTCGGACAACAAATATGGGGAAACGGAAATCAATCGATCGTAATCAGTAAGTGTAGACGGTTTTAAATTCTGGCTGAATGTACAAATAATTTTTAAGTGAAAATATATCTGTATTTATAAATGCGTAAAATGCCAGTTGAATTCTGTTTTATTATAATGAAATACAATTATTTATCTCATACACGTGGCTCGTTATTTTCGAATATTCCTCAAAACTATCTTAAGGGGTGATTAACGCCGTCACTGCTATTATTAGTGTTTTGCGGATAATCGGCGAATGTTTTTACGTTACTCCGCCAGGATCGTCCTTTAAAGTCTGTGTTCCGTGCTTTTTCTTTCCTGGGATTTTCAAACACGCCATTTGTGTTCTGTGCTCTAATAGAACATAATTTTCGCAAAGGTTTTTCTTTGCACGATTTACTACCTTGACGAAAAATTCGGAAATTTTCTGGATACATATAATACATGGAACAATCGAACAGCCTTACCGTTGAAGTGTTTGTTTATTATGCTTTGAAAATGTCATGCAATGACCGTTTAGATTTGGGATGAACAGAGTGAATAGGTTATTTTGTTTAAATGTTTGTAGGTGTGGATGTTTTAACTAAATTCGAAAAATGACTCAGGTGTTAAGTAATAAAGTTAAAACTCTGTCGACGCACTCGCATAAACTGACGCCTTATTCCCTTTCAGCTGCCGATCGACAGGGTTTAGTGTTCGAAATCATATCGACCAGAATTGCCGAAGATAGTGATAAAAAATATGTGATATACACTTTGCAAGTAAGATTTATTTCCGGCACTGACGATCCAAACCCTTCGGTTATTGATAGGCGATATACCGACTTTTTAAACTTGTACAATTCGTTAAAAAGAGATTACCCGAGTCTGATGGCTAACGTAACATTTCCAAAGAAAGTTTTAACGGGCAATTTCGACAGCGAACTCATATCACAGAGAAGCACTTATTTCGAGTCCTTATTAAAACATGTATGCGTCGAAAGTAAGTTAAGAACTTCTGCTCCATTGACGATATTCATGCAAGAACCCGAACTGACCAAAGCAAAGGAGTTGCTGGCCAAATGCGAATTCGACGCGGCTCAAAAATTACTCGAGGAAAATTTCAAACTACTAAACAAGGTACTCTGTAGACGTTGGTGTAGGTCCCGCGTAACCTAACCTGAATTTAGGTATTTTTGGACCGATCGCCGGTGGTATTGTTAGCACTGTGCCGCCTGGTAGGGTGTTCCGTTTTAATACCGGGCATGGTTAACGCCAAACGGTGGGCGGAATTGGCTTTGTACAGGTACGAAGGGGTGAGCGATAGCGAGCTTCTGGAATTGTACTTACCGTTGCTCAACGCATGCACAAAAATATGGTGGATGGAGGGTGACATGAAGACGGATTTGGAGACTAGATTGAATAATCTGCAACGGCGCGGGATCAAAATTAACAGCGACGTCAACCTGTTGGAGGCGATCAACGAAGTTGAAAAAAAATATATAAACTAATTCCCAAAGAGTTAGAGGCGGGAGCATTATTATACATTGTTTAACCACCCTAACGCTATTCATAAAAATTCTGTGTTGGTGTATACATTTTTTACATTTGGCTTGTGATATATTTTATTGTAATATAAGTTGATTATTTATACATTTACTTATTCTCCTTCTTTGGTGCATAGATAAACGCAAAGATTCAACTTGGGTTGACCCAAAACACTAGACATTTTACAGGAACTATGGTGGAGCATTGCACGCGGCGGTTTAACCTCCGTTCGTTCCCGACAGAATCCCTTGTATTCGTCCCCAAAAGTTTGATATCGGTTTCCACTGTGTGGATTTAGTGTTTTGAGTGCTCAGTGTATGTTTTAAAGTAATAATCGTCGTCGGCCCCGTCGTTTTTCCCTGTTCACGCCGGTATGAGGGCCGGATGGGCCCGGATGGTCCGCGGTGGTAGCGGCGGGAAGCCGCCGGTCAAAATCGTTTTTTTGCCAGCCGAGTAAATTTTGGTTATATTTCTTCTTCGTACGTGTTGGTCACTGGCCAAAAGCGAAAATCCTCGACGGATGTCGGTAATGGGCGAATGGCCATAGTAGTCTTGCCCAACTATTTATAAAGAGCAAAGTAGAGAGAGAGAGAGGAACTATAAATTTGGCACCCTATTAAGTGTGTGTTTCAACTGTGTTGGACAAAAATTGAAAAATTAGGGCAACTTTCCCTGCGTTGCATTTGTAAAGGTACTTATTTGTAAAAAAAAATGTCATCACCTACCTATTGTATGTTTTTCTCGACATTATTTAAATTTTTTTACATAACCCTAAATAAATGAATGACCATCCGACACGCATTTTTTTCCAAAACTTTAGTTACCGCTGTTTGGAATATATTAAGACAAAGATAACGTGATCGTAAATTACTATAATTCCGGCATTACTTAAGATTGGAATTGACGGTAAGAAAGGCATATTTGAAGGTTAGAAAGCCTTTTGTATACTACTAATGACCATGCAAAACTAGAAAGAGAAAGTGCTTAACCACGAAATAATATAATTAATTCCACTTATACGTTAATAAAAAACAATTTCCTAGTATCATTCGCCCAGTTTCAATACTGTAGACAAGTTTGGATTGGATAAACCGATAAAAAAAGGAATAGCACGACCATCCGGGCCCATCTGGCCTCCACCCGGTGGGAACAGCTAAGGCAGCACTCTAAAAACATAATCCACCACGAGATAAAAACAAAAACACTTATTCAGTTGGGTCAAATTATTAAAACTACTTACTCACAGAATAGAAGGGAAAGCGAGAGAAAATTCTTCGAAGTTGGTCAAAAATTCCAGAATCATTCACATGAAAAAGGAAAAATTTAGCCTGCATATCTTTTGTTTGTTTTACTACGCAAGTACCATTTGAATTGCTGTTTAAATTTAGTAGGAGAACTACAGAAACAATTATATTGCTATTAATTTCAAACCACGGACCAGAAAACTGTACAATTCCCCGAGTCCAATATTAACGACAATACGTTCGGCAACGGTCCGAGAATAATAGCGTGCTGAGTATAATTACGCCGCCGCAAACTGGTTCGACGGTTAGCGATGGGTAAGGGGTCGCGATCCAAGAGCGACGCGCAGGTACGACTAAGAAAGTTCCGGACGAATTTTTCACGTTATAAACTAGTCGTGGAACGCGCGCACGGGGCGTACGGTTACGTGAAAGTCGCGCAGCTCCGTTCCGAACTGAATATCGCGAATGTGCGGATACGAAAAAATATTGTACGGCCGACGTTACTGCTGCACGCGTGAGTGCTGCTCTACCCGCGAGTTCTTTTTTTTCGGCGTCCATTGCGACGCTTTCTTAAGGGAACATGGTCGTTGATGTCGCCGCGGAAGCTGTGAACGATCGCGGGGTAAGAGACGGGTGAAACCGCAATCTGGTCCGCTGTATTGTTAATTGTCCCGTGCACCAGTGTTAATCGCGGCGACTTTTACTTACGATACAAAGAATACGCTATTTTTTTTTATGCCCGACTAAAGTTCATTCGGTTTATTGTTTGCTAATTACGGCGGAGCGGACGCAGAAACTATACCGACGATTTGCCGTTAGAAATACGGATTGTTGCTTTCGCTCAACTTACCGGGTATCTCGCTTCAGGTGACCCATATAGTTTTCTTAAAACCTCCAATAATTGTCAAGATATTTTAAGTACTAAAGCTAAAGCTTTTTATTATTTTTTGTGGCTTTTAACCATCAAATTTTGGCGAGGCTTCTACTCGTCGTGTGCCACCCATATTTATAATGTTATATATAATAATTATAATTATTTATTAACAAATATTTAATTAAAAAGAAGTTACTGATTCGTAACTATTTTTCTATAGATTAAAAAAATTGTTATTGGTATTTATAAGATTTTTGACAGCCTAAATCCATAGAATTATCGAAAAAATAACGCTATAAATTAATTATAATAATATGGAATAGTTTTGTTTTCAACTTTTTAAGCTGTCCATTTTACCCCCGGTATTACGCAAATGGCTGAAAATGTACAGATAACCAGAATTTATAATGATAATAACGAAAAAAAAATTAGTTAACTTAATGGTTAATACAGGGTGCTCCGATTCTTCGGTATCGACGTCAACAAATATTTCGTTGCGTTTTCGGATTTTGTTGTTAAAACAAAAGTAACTTTACTCTTTCTGCACTATTTAGGAAATATTTATTAGTTTTTTTTTTAATTTGCAAAAGCCCACGAAATGGATGACGTCACAATTTGCAAAAAGATCTCATTTCTTAAAAATGTTTTTATCAATACGGTTCTTTGGAATGATGAAAGCATATTTTTTCTGTTTGGATCTAATTTAGGCCAATTTATCAACTTAGTACTGTGAAACACGGTTTAGGGATCTTTTTGTCGATCTGAAACAAAGCCAATCAGATACAGGATAAAATGGACCGATTTCCATACAAAGAGATATTGGAAATTACGATGCTCAGAATGCAACCGAACATGATCCGAAACACGGGTTCAAGTTAGTAAATAAATGGTTTGAAGAGTAAAATATAATTGTTTTTGAATGGCTACCCAAACCTTCCGATCTGAAGCGCCATTGAATATGGCACGTCTTGGAAGTATTAGTAAAAGTAAAATTGATTTTTTTCCAGTAATGCAATACTCACGGAAATAGAATGGCTGAAAAAGTGAAATAATTCCACAATCAATATGTAGAGGTATATGTGAGAGATGTTTTACTCTCGTTTATTAAAACAATAACTTAGTTTTACAAATTGTCCGAATGATCCCAGCAGAAGTGACCAATAGAAATAAAAGAGGAAGAAGAAGAACAAGTTTATAATTACACCCTGTAGATTGGCATCGTTTATGACGTCACCATCACAGACGGGCGCGTGTTAAAAATAAAGTAGAGGGTGATTTCTAAGGTCATTGAATATTGAATAATTATTATTATTGAATAATTATAATTTCGAATCCGAAGTACCTATACATTTTTGAAATCCGGATGCAGTAAAAGTAAAAATGTACAGGATAAAATATAATGAAAGTGTTCTTTTAATAAACTCTGTGGATGGATGTAAAAAGAAAAACCTGGGCGCGCTAATTAGTTTAATCTTTTTCCGATGAAGAAACTAAAAATATAAATTTTGTTGTTTCTTAAGCTGTTTCGCTTACGGAATAGAGAATAAACTCTATTTAAAAAACAGGGTTGCCAAATTTTAAAAAAAGACAATGAGAAAAAACTTTGGCGGCTTTGCATCTTGCAGAAGCAATCCATTTTTAAACACCCTGTATATACAGAGGGTGTCCGAGAAGTCGACGATCCAAACTTATTCGCAATATTAAAAAATATATAAATAACTATTTAGCGAGCTTATTTAGTTCTTTTCGCGAGTAATTTGCAGAATTACATCTTTTTTAACTTAATTCGACCTTTTGGGACAATTTAACACCACCTACGGCAATGTATGGAATAAAATTGCCGGGCCAATTAAACAAATTAAATTAATTAATCTAGCCCGTTCGCATTTTTTTAAAAAACCATATAATAATAGACCCGATAGTTTTATAACGCGTAAAAAAACCATTTACGGTTCAAATTTAATTATGTGATGCGAAATAGAGGCGACTGTTTACTAGGAACCTGCACACGTATAACCGAAGTAATTCCCAAACGAATTTATATCACATTAAAGTCGTTATTATAGTCGGAACTCTCGCGCCTATTTGATATTAATTAAAATCGTTCGTTAAGTATGCTGGGTAAACTTCCGCCAATTAGGCACTGATGCACATTTAACGGCTGACAAATGCGCGCTTTTAAATTAAATCCGCATTAATTGTCCAACACTTGCGAAAATATTACTGTTCGACCAACGTTACGTTACGCAACCCAAATGCAAATCCGCCAACAGGTTTTTAAGACGTCAAAATATTGTGTAAAAAAAATGATACTCCGAATTGACCTCGAAAGTAATTTTTACAATTTACCGATTCGATACTCGGAAAATAAATCTAGACCCCTGGGCCAAAGAACGTAAGTCTCAACTTGCACGCGCGTATCTCTACGCTGGAGACTTTGACCTTAACCTCAAAATTCGGCCAGGTCTCGGGATCGCCGTTGCAGCGCGTCGAAGAAGGGGTTGCCGCACAAAAACCTGCTTCGGAGACGCTTTCCAAAAGATCGGACCCGACAACGCGGCCATTGCGCGTGCTAATACGACGTTTGGCGGTCATGGCCGCGATCCTGGCGGTTCTGGCCGCTCTCGCCGCCCTCGTGTGGATATTTTTCGGTTGGTTGTTCCTAATAGAGTTGGTTCTGGTCGCGTTGGTGGCTTATGTCGCCGCGGGACACTACCGCTGGTTCTACGTGGCACTTATGACCGCCCCCCGAGACATACGGCAAGCGAACATTTGTAAAATATCCGTCCCCATCCTTACGGCCTGTATTTTTTCAGCGCCCTCATTAAATATATCGGGCTGCTCGTAGAAATCAAAGGTTTCCAAAGGCGAAACCTGACGTTGGCTCAAATATTCACGAGAAACGTGAAGAAACACCCGCACAAACCCGCCCTGGTTTATGAGAACGAGGAGTGGACTTTTCTTCAGGTGAGCCGAGAATAAAATGGGGCTTGTGGACGTTCTAATGACAAAAAAATCCAAATTACTAAAAACTAACCAAACCGACCGCAATATTTGAACTTCTTGATCTAGTTTTTTATGAGGATTTGTTGTGTATGACATTTCAGGCTTACGCTCTGACCTGAAAGTCTATTGCGGTGCACATTATTAAGTATTCACTTTCCTAGCAGGCTCAACCCTCATATAAAGTCCTTTAAGAAAGTGATTTATTCATATCTTCGAGCCTGCACTTTTGAATACTGCCAGGTATCCGCACAATTGTTATCATTGGCCAGGGCAATCTTGTGCATGTGTTTGAGGCGGCAGGCTGCTAATAGGACATTCTATCACAGCTTTGTAGGCTTGTGTTACTCTATTACAGTACGCTAAAGTAATGTGGTTAGTTTTGGTACAGTCTTGGAGGCGCCTTGACGCGTTCTTAATGCCGCCAAACTCCGAAAATATATAAATTCTATTCAGAACAAGTAACATCTGTATCATCATCGTTGTACAGAACTCTTTGAGATCTTTCATAGTCTTCATACGTTTTGGAACCATCAGGGGTCAAATAATGTGCTGATCCCATGGGGTCAGTCTTATACTGAACCCACTCACTGCTTAGCAGCTTCACTTCATAGGCGAGGTCTGCCATCCATCTCTAAACGCACGCCAGCAATGGCATGGTTTAAAAACCACATCTTTAGCATTCCATCCAGATAGATATGGAGGTGGTAGCCCCAGTCGGGTTTCCACTGTACAATGGCAGTGAAAACGCTACATTTTAGCCTAACTTTTCAATTAAATTTCACAGAATCAATGCAAACTGGGATGGTTTTGGTTGGTTGATTCTTTTTAAAGAAAATCTAGAGTTAGTTCTTGCTAGTCTTGTTTGCATCTTTGACTTTCATGTTGACGTTGTAGGACTGACTGACTGACGCATAATTCACGATGTAAAATTATCAAAACAAGAAAATAAATGCATCTATGGTTTATATCTGACCGTGTAAGTTGTTGACGGAAGGTTGGATGATTTTTTTATGATTTTACTCAACACCAATGCATGTCGACAAGGCCTGCCAAAATGGGTTGTCATTCCAAGATACATCGTGTGTTAAAAAAGTAAGGTGACTTTTAAGTTTTATCAAAAACTATAAGTATTTATTTATTTATGAAAATTAATCAGTTCAAAATAATCCACCCTAGATATTGTGCCTTCATTTTTTCCAACCCAAATAGAAGTTCGTCATCGGCGTCTTCTCGGCCATCTTGGAACAGCTTGTACCACTTATAAACTTTTTTTTTGCTCATTTGGCACTTTGATATAATACTAGAATGACAATATCCATCGTTTTCCACGTCCCACAACCTTCGTTCCAGATCGAGGAATATAGCAACAGGGTCGCGAACGTTTTCAAGAAACACGGTTACAAAAAAGGCGACGTGGTTGCCCTGTTCTTGCAAAACCGACCCGAGTTTGTGTGCATATGGTTGGGGCTCTCAAAACTGGGGGTCATCGTGCCCCTGATCAACACCAACCAGAGATTCGGATCTCTGGTGCATTCGCTCGACGTCGCCAAATGTCAGGCGTTGATTTTCGGCGCCGAACTGGCTGACGGTAAGCGCCCCGCCCACTTCCCTTCCACTTGCGGTCAATTTTCGTTTTTTTTTTTTTTTATTGCAGCGGTGACGGAGATCGCGGACAAAATCGACCCAAAAATTGCACTGTATCAAATCATTTGCAACAACAACGCCGCCAGTCCCGATCAAAGGTACAAAAATTTGGACGCGCTGCTTAAGGACGCGTCCGCGTCCGCCCCCGAAGTGTCCGACAAATTGGGCCACCACGATCACCTGCTTTACATTTACACGTCGGGCACCACCGGACTGCCGAAAGCCGCCGTCATAACCACGTCTAGGTAACTTTACAGACTTTTTAGACTTTGATAGTAACGCATAAAATATTACTGGGTTAACTTGAAAAAGAAAGAAAATTTAATACCAACGGCCTCTGAAAATGGCGGCGGGAAGCTTCTACATACCTTCAGAGCTAGCGCAGCTGATGGACCGGATTTTCTCTCAGTCAGCGATATAAAGGCCCTACCTATGCCAATAATACAGGAACTTATGAGAAACAATGAAAAAAAAAAATTCGACATGCCCACACGTGAGGTTTCGATTTGACCAATGACGGCATTTCTACGACAATGGTTTCTTGAAATAACTTAAATCTCATTAAATGTTCTGGTAGAGTCGGAAATCGTTTAAAAAGAAAGTGGCGCATCAGTTTTTTGGTTAACTTGTAAAGAATGACGGAAACTTTTAAAAGACTCCTGAACTTGAAACACGTTGACACACTGCACTGTGCCAGAAATATTTTTATCCTTCAACATGTCAAAAATATCCTTTAATTAATTAACGGTGCATCAGTGACCTAGCTAAGCAGGGCTCTCCTCTAAACCTGCCCTTTAATTAGGACCAAAGGAGTATAGTATCTCTTTAATGAGAACTTTGTATAGTCCCACATTTGAGCTCTTAACGCACATGACTAGGAAATAGAGGGAATATGTCAGGTTTTTTACTAGTGCGGTACATTTGAACTACCGCGCGGTGATTGAGAATCGACCTCCTTTCAAGGTACATCTTTATCGCTGCTGCCATTGGGTGGTTGTGCGGGTTCCGCGCCTCCGACAGGTTCTACAACCCGCTGCCGCTTTATCACACGGCCGGCGGATGCATGAGCGTCGGACAAATGATCATCTACGGGTCCACCGTGGTCATTCGCAAGAAATTCTCCGCGTCTTCCTACTTCCCCGACTGCAAAAAGTACAATTGCACGGTAAGTCCGTCATATTTTTTTTTCTACGTTAAAACCGGGTGCTACACTATTATCGTATCGATTCAACATTTCCTTTGTTGAATATATATGGCCGAGTCCTTGGATCCATCAAATACTTTCTCTGCCTTTCTCACCCTGTATCTCTCAGCGATCAGACATGGTTCCGCACGCGCACTTGTTCCAGATCGCTCAGTACATAGGCGAAATGTGCCGGTACGTGTTGTCGGTACCGCGCAGGCCCGGCGACAAGGACCACAACCTGCGCATGATCTTCGGTAACGGCCTGAGGCCGCAAATATGGCGCGAGTTCGTCGAAAGGTTCGGCATAAAAAAAGTCTGCGAGTTTTACGGGGCGACGGAGGGTAACGCGAACATAGGTGAGTCACGCACGCCACAGAGAAGAAGCGACCGGGATGCCGTCTATCGATGAGTAGGCTAGAAACTATCATTTTATGTCAGTCGACAAAAGGAAAGCAAGACATATTGGGTTGTTCGGAAAGTCATTTCGTTTTTTTTGGGGAACATGAATGACAGTTTTCGTATAATGAATAAATATTTTATTAAATTAAATATTGGCCATTCTGGTCCAACACCTTTTGCCATCTTTCTGGCAGTAACATAATTCCCCTCTCATAAAAGTTTTGGTCGTTGCTGGCAAAAAACTGGTTCAGGTGGTTTTTGACATCTTCATTTGAGGTAATGGTTTTGCCATCCAAAAAATTTTGCAGGGACCGGAACAAATAGTAGTCGGAAGGCGCCAGATCTGGAAAATATGGTGGATGTTGCAGTACGTCCCATTCAAGCTGTAAACGTTTTTGGCGAGTGACCAAACTTGTGTGAGGTCTCGCATTATCCTGGTGGAACACTACACCCCTCCTGTTGATTAATTCGGGCCTCTTCTCTTTAAGTGAATCATTCAATTTGTCCAGTTGATGACAATAGACTTCTGAATTAATCGTTGTATTGTCCGGCAAAAGCTCAAAAAAAAAAACGATTCCTTTGACATCCCACCAAACGGAGAGCATCACCTTTTTTTGGTGAATGATGGCTTTTGACACGCTTTGAGCCGGTTCATCTTTTCTGCTCCATGACTTCTTGCGTTTAACATTGTTGTATACAACCCATTTTTCGTCCCCAGTAATAATCCGCTTCAAAAATGGATCATTTTCTTGACGTTTGAGGAGCGAATCACACACGTCAACGCGACGACACAAATTTCGCTCCGTAAGGACATGGGGCACCATCGAGCTTCGAGGTTAAGCCCATGCCTTTCAAATGGCCATAAACAGTCGAATTCGATAAATTTAATCTCTCATCGATCTCTCGTGTGGTTATTTGCCGATTTGCATCAACTAATGCCTTTATTGCATCTTTGTCAGTTTCAACCGGCCTTCCAGACCGTGGTGCATCTTCGACATCAAAATTGCCGGATCGAAATTTTGCAAACCAGTTCTGGCACTGGCGTACTGTTAACACGCCTTCTCCATACACATCCGTCAATTTTTTTCTCGCTTGGACAGCATTTTTACCATTTCTGAAGTAAAAAAGTAAAATATGACGAAAATGCTGCTTATTGCTCTCCATATTTAAAAGGGCACCAACCAAAAACTACTGCGTAGAATTAATAGAACTTTTTCACACACAAGCCTTGCAATATCAGCTCTCAAGACATATAATGGTTATGCGGCTTAAGTGTGAAGTCGGTTTCGAAAAAACGTAATTAAGTCCTCTGACGGGAAAAAACGAAATGACTTTCCGAACAACCTTATAATTTGCATTTTTCGCCCTGGTGTTATGAGTGTATGGAATATCTACTTTATTACTAAATTTTGCGTTTTTTACTGATTTTTTTATATATTATATTAATTATACATAACAGTTTTGTACTCGTTTGCTTTAAAAAAAAAAAACTATTTACGTGGCCGTCCCCAATATCTATTTGCTTTATTTTGATTGCTGTTTCCATTTGGCACAGGTTACAACACCTCTTCTTTAGGTTGGAATATTTTAATTTTTAATCGGTGTCTTTAGAGTGAACAGAGAAAAAATGAATAAGTAATTTTCGAGAATGGAGAAAGAAAAGAATATGCAATTTATGGAAAAAGCGTAAGGTGTATATATATTTAAAAAATATATGCCAAGACGCGAACTGAAATCTAAAGGAAAAGTTGGAAACTCCGCTTAAGAAGGAACCAGGGAGAAGCAGATATTTATAGAAAAATTCCACGACTAAGCGACACGGACGAAGAAAATACGCAAAATGAAATTGGTATGCAAAATAAACAAGTGTCTTTGTCCAGATCATGGAAAAACGTTTACTACATATACTGACATGTATAGCTGAAGATACCAGATTGTATTGTAACTCACCATCTAACCCCAAGGTTTGGACAGGAGATTGGTTAATGTCCTTGAAAAGCACTGCATATTGGTTTCAGCATATTGGGAAGTCTAATACACACTTTGTGAAAAAACCGCTGAATTAATCGGTCACAAAACACACCTTGAAGTGTAGTTATAACAAAGGACTTCGCGGGACTTCGATAGAACCCATACTAGCGATTGCGGCAGCGGTTAGCCAATGCCGTTGCTTCGCCTCCCAGCACTGACGTGTTTCTATTTTGTGTTTTCATTTGTGCGTGTTTATTTCACAGTGTCCCGTTGGTTGATTTTTTTATATATCCAGGTAATTTGTACAAATATGTGTCCAAAGAGAAATGGTATAGAATATGAATTATGTACGTCCGCTGTAAGCGATCGCGTTTGGTCACGTGATAGTGTCCCATTCTGAAATTACGTTCACTCTACTATCAAATTGCAGTATTAGGAAGTTTCCCGTTGTTAATTTTCGATGCAGCTACGGTTACAAGATTAGTTCAATGTTATTTTGACATTATTTCTGCACAGATCATTATTCCCGCGGACCTGAGATCGAGAATAAAACTTAGACACACTTTCGCCTTTCAAATTTACGTTGCTCCAAAATTTTAATTTCTCGAGAATTGCCCACCGTAGGGGCGAATCTCCGTGCCAGGTCCATCACTTTTCACTTTTTCCGCAGTGAACGTGGACAACACGGTGGGAGCCATAGGATTCGTGTCCCGGATCATACCGCAGGTCTACCCGATATCGATCATCAGGGTAGACGAGCACGGTGAACCGGTACGAGACGCGAGGGGACTCTGTCAGGTTTGCAAACCTAACGAACCCGGCGCGTTTATCGGGAAAATATCGCCGGGCAACCCGTCTCGAGCGTTCCTCGGATACGTCGACGAGGCGGCGTCGCGCAAGAAGATCGTCCGCGACATCTTCGCCATAGGCGACAGCGCGTTCATATCCGGCGACATCCTAGTCGCCGACGAGTTCGGCAATTTGTTTTTCAAGGACCGAACGGGAGACACATTCCGCTGGAAGGGCGAGAACGTCTCCACCTCTGAGGTAACTGGGACGACGTAAACTTAAGTTTAATCCAAATTATTTAAATGTATCACGCCTCTTTCGCCATGCGACCTCATGTCCACTACTCTTTTTGTTAGAACCGCTCTTCTGGTGGTATTCCACCTCCGATCCAGCATTTTTATTATTTATTTTTATTTATTATTTTATTAGTATTTAATTTGCTAGTAGAGCTGTAGACACTGCTGGATGTTTTTTTTTTGGTTTGCTCGTTAACAAAGTAACACTTAAAAGCCTCTGATATTTTATGGTCTTATCAAACTTTCTGCGAAAATTCCTTCCTGTTGCACCTCTCGGAGGAAACTGCCCGACGCAATAAAGATATGCGCTCCCTCCCGTTTTCAGGTGGAAGGTGTGCTCAGCAACCTGGTCGACTATAAGGACGTCGTGGTTTACGGAGTCGAAGTGAGAAGTCAAGAGGGTAGGGCGGGGATGGCTGCGCTGCACGACCCCGAAGGCACCGTCGACCTGAACGGGCACCTACTTGAAGGGCTTAAAAGGGCGCTGCCCTCATACGCCCGGCCTATTTTTATCAGGATACTGACCAAGCTCGATCTAACAGGTTAGTATAATTATTTTAACTGGCGATTTTTTAGCGAAATTTCTTGAATATGATTTTTACCGGAACCCCTTGCTGCCACCCCATTTAAAGTTAGGTGGAAATCGTGGTTATTTAATCTTTAAGGCATATTTGCTACGGTATTGGAAATAGAAATAAAGAAAATCAATTTAAAAAGTTGCTAGGTAGGTTTTTTATTTTTCAGGCACCTACAAGCTGAAGAAGAACGATCTTCAAAGGGAGGGCTTCGATCCCACAGCGACAACAGACAAGATTTACTATCTTGGTCCGGACGGCCGATATCAGTTGTTAACGAAAGAAATATACGATAAAATAGACTCGGGTCTGATCAGGGTGTAGCCTGTGGTGGTAGAGTAATATCGCATAAGATTTTTTTTTTTTGGTTTCATGTACGCGGCAGCTACGGGGAATATTTACTAGTGCTGGACGGGGATTTAGCGTTGGTAGGACTAGTTTTTTTTTGTTTTTTTTTTTACATTTTTATATATATGTTTGCGTTGTAATCTCAAATAATACCGTTACATAAAAAATATGTGCGTTTTTCTCCTCCTCCCCCCTCTAAGCGACTATGACGAATGGCAACAAAATTTGACATTGAATTTAAAAAAAAATTATCTGGGTTACTATATACATTTCTCCTGCGTTGGTTGTTAATGAAAAATACAGAAACCTGTGGAAATTTCATTGAAAAATTTGTATCCGGGTTTTTCATTTAATTTTTTTTTCAAAGTGTCGCTCAATGGGTATTTGTGGTAAAGCAAAACATTAACAGCTAATTCTTACCAAACCTGCTTCTTGATACACAAACAACTAAATATCACGCACTAACTTGCATTTTGCCACACTTTCTTTCTAAACAGCCGTCTCCACACACTTAACACTTTCCATGAGCATTTAACGATGTTCATATTTTTAGAAAATACTGCTGCAAAAAATACAAGATCCAAACTGAAACCCGTCAAATTGATTAAATGTCAGCGGCCATGTTGGTTGTTAAAACTCGCTAGGTCTTATTTGAAAGACGCAATACTTTTTTTTATCATATGCATATCGTAACATATGCAAGACTATATGCTATAGCACCTAAACGTTCAATACCGTCTTTTAAGTGTCAGACGCTTTTAATGGCGACAATATGTATGGGTAACTAGATTTTAAATGACGGCCTAGGCACGGTATATCCTTTTCTCGGCGAGATTGCTCTGGACACTCGCCCATTACTCACATCCTTCGAGGATATGTTTCAATTGAGTCATATAATGGATTAGTTTCACAATTATTCTAGGGTTACAGCACCGGCACCACAAAAGAAACGGTTTCTGCTTCGCTTCTACCTCTCACCATCTGGGCCCATTCATCATCTAACCGACGTAAATGGCAAAAAGACCGCCAAGATGTTCCCAAAACATTCAATTCAGACCTTTGAGACAAAAACATATGATTCTGCCCTGAACGAACAGAAGTTAAACAGCCATTTTGCAGTGCTTACGACAGAATGATGACAAAATATATAAAATCCTTCCAGTATACTGCAGTTGCGGAATAAAAAAAATGTTGCCCGAGTGGCCATATGCAATATTTTTTCAAGAGGTCAAGCTGAAAAGCTGAATTTCCGTGGACGCGACTCTAACCTCACAAAACCCGAAACCTGTCAATTTACGAGTTTCATAATGTTAATTTTTACGATGTAATTGTTTCCTCGCGAGTAATTCGAGAACAACAGCAATATCAAAAATGGATTGGGTGATATCGGACGAATTATCTTTGACGGTCGGCCACGTAGTGGGATGGGTGAGTGCGGCAGCCATGATAATCGGGGGCGTAATCCCGTATATACCGCAATATCGTCAGATAAAGAGAACGAAAGACGCCGACGGATTCTCGTTGTTGGTATGCTTGGCCTTGCTGGTAGCGAACACGCTGCGAATAATTTTCTGGTAAGTGGCGTTAAAGGAGCCGACGGATCCGTGGTACTTAACGGGTGTAGCGTTTAGGTTTGGCAGGCACTTCGAATACCCGCTTCTAGTCCAAAGTCTCATTATGAACGTCACGATGTTTGTCATGGTTCATTTGTGCGTCACGATCAGAAACAGGAAACAATTGATCCAGGCACGGAAGAGAATTTTTACCGGTAAGGCCGGGAATTTATTATGAAATGTTCTGCTTCCATGTTTTTTCTTTTCGTATTTCGCTTTCTCAGTTTTAATCTTACGAATTATATTTTTCCGCTGCGATATATAATAACTATATTTTGTAAAGCTAATTTGAAACTGTCACACTGCATTTTTATTTAGTTGCAAACGCTGCTGCTGCAAAGAGGCTTATCCTTCTATCCAAAACACGCCGCTCTGAAACCATTTCCGGTAATAGGCCTGCACGGTTTTCGCTTGTTCTTCAAGGGGCCAATTATTTACTAATTAAGCGGGTGATTTAAGAAACAATACCAAGTGTTTTTTATTGATACTTTGCCATTGTTACGAGATTTTTAATAACTTTACCTATTGTTTCTTAGACCCACACAATTTATTTATAAATTTATGGGATTTTTATGAATGCAACTAGGGAAGGCACCGTTTTGCCTCCTCTGCGTCGTGCACTTTTCATTTGTGTCAAATTTGTCCTAAATGCTTATAATTAAGAAATTGCTGCTTCATGTGCTGCTTTCATTTCATTTGCTTCGCTTTGCCTATTGATTCGATTATAGTGCTGCTTACCGAAATCCAACATTTGCTAATCATACATTATCCATGTGTTGAACGCTTTTATGGTGCAACCGAGACCCGATCGGGTGCCCGCGGGTGTCTGTTCTAGATTTCGATGCGAAACATTTCTGGAACTGGTCCGACTTCCAGTCCTACCTCGATTGTATGTTGTTGTTCACGATCGCTTCCTCGTTGCTGATGTACCTATTCATAGACTACATGGTTTTTGTGGAAATCGTGGGGTTCCTCGCCGTGTTCACGGAGGCGATGCTCGGCGCTCCTCAGCTCGTAAAAAATTATCGAAATAAGTCGACGGAAGGCATGAGGTAAACATCCCTGTGCCCCAGTGTGGGGCAAACTTTGATTTTTATCAAAAATCATCGATTTAAAAAAAAAATAAAAACCATGTATTTCCCGTTTTTTTTTTAAATCAATTGCAAACTATTTTAAAGCCACTATAAACAATAAATATACACATTAAATATTCGTCCTTTTGCAAGAAAATTTCTTTGGTGATTGTTTTATTGAAAAAATCAAAAATCATTGATTTTAATTGATTTTTAATTTCATAAGAGAATGGATTTCCCGTTTTTTTGTTAATCAATTACAAACTATTTTAAAGCCACTATAAACGATAAATATACACACTAAATATTCGTCAGAAAGCGCTTTTTGCAAGAAAATTTCTTTGGTGATTGTTTTATTTAAAAAATAAAAATTCATTGATTTTGATTATTTTTAATTTCACAAGAGTATGGATTTCCCGTTTTTTTGTTAATCAATTACAAACTATTTTAAAGCCACTATAAACGATAAATATACACACTAAATATTCGTCAGAAAGCGCTTTTTGCAAGAAAATTTCTTTGGTGATTGTTTTATTTAAAAAATAAAAATTCATTGATTTTGATTATTTTTAATTTCACAAGAGTATGGATTTCCCGTTTTTTTGTTAATCAATTACAAACTATTTTAAAGCCACTATAAACGATAAATATACACACTAAATATTCGTCAGAAAGCGCTTTTTGCAAGAAAATTTCTTTGGTGATTGTTTTATTTAAAAAATAAAAATTCATTGATTTTGATTATTTTTAATTTCACAAGATTATGGATTTCCCGTTTTCTTGTTAATCAATTACAAACTATTTTTAAGCCATTATAAACGATAAATATACACACTAAATATTCGTTAGAAAGCGCTTTTTGCAGGAACATTTCTTTGGTGGTTGTTTTATTGAAAAAATCAAATAATTTTTTTTTTTTTAATTTTAATTGATTATTTTTAATATTATAAGAATATGGATTTCTCGTTTTTTTGTTAATAAATTACAAATTATTATAAAACCATTATAAACAATAAATATACGTACTAAATATTCGCCAGAACGCGCTTTTGCGAGAAAATTTCTTTGGTGGTTGTTTTATTGAAAAAAATAAAAAAATCATTGATTTCTTAAAAAAAAAAAAAAAAATCATGATTTTTTGAGTATTCTTCAGAACGCACTTTTGGGAAGAAAATTTCTTGTTTTATTCACGATCTATAAATTGTCGCTGTCGCGTACGTCGCGTATTGAGTATTGAGTTGGTGATTTGTCCAATTAGTGAAAAATAGAACATTAGGTGAAAACATTTAAATGGCAGGAAGAAAAGAAAATAGCATATGACAGTTTTACATTAAAACAAAGACTTAAAAACACACCATGATGTTTGTGATAATAAGCAACAACAAACGAATACAGGTAGGTAAATAATATTTTATTTTCTTATTATTTATTTCATTTTTATTTGACTTTTCATGTTCGTAAAAGATAGAAGTAACGTTTTCAAAAGAATTAGGAATTTATTATTTAAAAAATGTCATGTCCTTTTTGTTTTTTCTGGCTAAAATTTGAATTCATGCGTATATTAATATTTATAATTTTTAGGTACTTACCTATTTTTATTTTTTACTTATCTTTCTTTATCTTAGGAAAGAATGTACACGATTTTCAACGTATTTTAAAAAAAGTGTAAATGTAATAAAATCCAATAAAACCCTTTACTAATTTTTTATAGGAAAATTGGGCGCGTAGCTGGTTTACCATTTATTAACAATGGTGTAAGCTTATAAATTTTAATTTTATTTATTTATATTATTTTAAATATCGCTTCTGTAGATTTTGCTACTACGTCTGCCTCGAGTTCCACGACACTCACGACAGATTTGTCAAGCCTTTGGAAATTTCCGCAAAGTCCAAGAAAGAAAAAGAAAAAAAAACTGAAAATCGGCCTAGTTTGAGTAGTTACGTAATGCGTAACATCAACAACTGAAAAAGAAAAGATTAACAAACAAATAGCAAAGGCAATTTTTGCTACTAATTCGAGATATTCACTTATTAATGTGGTAGGTATACGCCATCAAGAAAAAAGTTATCAGCAAGTCTTTTTGATGACATCTATGAGGAGGAAAAGGCAAAATATTTTTCTTCTTTGTCAGGACAAATGTGTGAATATGTCCATTGATGGGTGATCAAACATCCACAATGAGCCAGTTATATGAGCAACAATAACAACTGAAGATGGACGATCGCTTTTTTACGAAAACTTCGGGAAAACCTGATACTTCACAATATTTCACTGAAGTAGTTTGTGACCTAATTTCTCCATATAAATCACAATATGGCTCTCATGGTAAAAACTTTGGAGGACAAGTTAAAACTTCTGGCTGCCCTACATATATTTTGAATTTACTACGCAAAGGCTTACAAATACCAGACGCAAAGAACATGAACATTTAGCTAAAGCGAAATTCAGTCAAGCAGGAGGTAACGCTATAGTCGTTCCAAGTGATGTGCGATGGAATATCGTCGCTGATTATTAAAGATGTGTGAGATGTACTATTAAAAATATGTGAAGAAAACAGAAACCAAATTGATCCGATCATTTATCAAAAGGTATCAAATATTGGGCTTAAACATAAAGCACAAGCATATTTAAACATTTGAAAACTAATACCAGTTGCTCATGATATTTTGCAGAGCAAAAACATTACTATCTAGAGCAGTGGAAACATTTACGATATACGAGAATGTTGTAGAATTACCTCTATCAAAAATACAAAAAAATGAGGATCAATGTAAGCAGGCACTGACGCCATTACATTTTATAGCCTATATGTTGGACCCTCTGGCTTTAGAAACAATTCATAATTTATACGGTAACACTAAACTTTTGCCATTAGTAATAAAGTTTTCGGATGAAATAATAAAAAACGTAAATGGAATACAGTAGTGGATATCACAAAAAGATGAGCCAGAAATTGCGAAACAGCTACCAATAATAAAACAGTTCCTGTGTGCAAGTGCTTCCTCGGGGTCAGTAGAATGAACTTTCCGCACTTTAGGTTTTTGCACACTCCAATACAAGGAACGAGACGGGGATAGAAAAAGGGGGAAAATTAGTATTTTTGTTCAAACTATACAACGAAAATACACAAGCATACAGTGTGTATTATTACGAGGGCTGCCTTTTATATACTGGTCCTCCCATCTGGCGCTAATGTTTTAATAGGGAAGTTTGACATTTTGAGGTTAGGTTTTGACGAAAGAGTGTTGTATTATTTTTTGTGATAAATTTAAAAAATTATGACGGTTAAAAATGGAACTTAATACGATCGCGGTGCTTCCAAACACGTCTATGACATCGTGGCAGGTGATGAATCATGGATCCGTGCATATGAACCTGAAAGTAAGCAGCAGTCGATCGACAAAGCACACAAAAGTAGTTCGTGAGCGAAGCACCTCGATACAAATGGGAACCTGCTTTTTCTGAATGGTACACAACCATTTGTTCGCTCAAAGACTTCGAAGCAATTGGAAAAACCAACCGCGGAAGATGAGTCAATCTCCACGATGACAATACTAGCTCTCACCGATCAGTGCAAACAAAGAACTTTTTGAGCATTAAAAAAAAAGTGTATAGTCCTGATTTAGCACCTAATAAATTACGTGGGTAACGATTTTTGACACCGGAAGAAGCGATTGATGCGTTTAAAAAGCATGTTTTGGAGGTGCCCGAATCGATGTGGGAAAAGTGCTTTGATGATCCGGGTGAATATTTTGAGAAACAGTAAAGTGATATTTGTTGGTAGCTTGTAGTTTTTTTATTGCAAATCCCGAAATATATGTCAGTTGTCTTATTTTTTTAAAGAGTTGTGTTTTACTTTTTATTCGTGATTGTACTGGGCTTAATAAAAACAGATTTTAAAAATCGAGTGATTTAAATCATGATTTTAATCTTGCCTGTGCCCCCCGTCCTAACGGTACGAGTTCAAGACTAAAATGTTTCCTCAACGTTTTCGCAATTGCAGCATAAGCATGGTCGTTTTGTGGACGTGCGGCGACATTTTCAAGACGTCGTACTTCCTGTTGAGGGACGCTCCCGTACAGTTCTGGGTGTGCGGATCCCTCCAGGTCACCATCGACCTGTTGATCCTCTTGCAAGTCTACATTTACAAGACCAATTCCGATCCGAACCGCACCGGGGCCCATAGGATCGATTGAGTGGTCATTGTGTGGAAGCGGGACGCGGAAGAAGCCCCGAAAAGTGACGCGACGAATGAAAATTGTGATACGATCAAAGACGCCCAATCGGACGGGTTCTCTCTGAGCAACGGCAATTGTTACGATCAATCGTTGAAGGGTTTCAGTGATACTAGTGATAATTTCGTCAAGGACGAACGCGATTTCGTGGTGAACGCCGAGATTCACAACGACGGGGTGACGACGTCGAGCGACGACTCCACCACCGACAGTATTAACAAAGTCGTCTACAACGTAGATTATCTGTATAAAAATATGAACGGGGGCTGTCTCACCGACACGATGTTAAGTAGCGACAAAAAGAATCTCACTTACAACGTTAACTACAAGAAGCCGGCGAAGGTGCGCATGCTGATTCACCGGCATACCTTATGACATGTGCCCTTGACGGAAGCTGTTTTTGCGATATGGTAATCGGAAATGTGGACGTTTTTTTCGGGTCGATCAGACGTCGTTAGTTGTGACGTCATAATTTGTGGTTAGGTTTTCACCATATCCAATATCTATCATTTCGCATTCGTGCCTATCCGAGCATTTTAGAAGTGTTTTTAAATTGACAACAGTGGTACGCCCATTTTTCATTAGTTGCGGTAATTTAAAGTAACCTTCCAATTACTATTTTTGATTTTAATGGGTATGCGGAGGGCTAGAGGCCTATTGTTTAGTAAAGGGTACGTTGACGTCATTGTTGTGTTTCTTCATGTTTGCAAATCACAGGCCATTCCTCGACAGTAACTTCTGAAAATTGTTGCCTTGCAAGATGTTTCACATATTGCACATATATAATCCCTTTTTTACATGCATGTTTGGATTTTCGAGGCAATAACTGTTTCTCCGCCCATGTCATAAAATTTTTATTGTTCACTTCATCGTGATATCCCCCATTGCCAAATTTATTGAAATATTAACATTTTTTAAATATTTTTTCAACCTATTCAACGTCGACTGAGGGTTATCAAAGTATGTACCTATTTTTTTTACATATATCCTAATAACCCCCTATTAGTTGGGTAGCTTTATTCTAAGTATGGGCCCACATTATGGTAAATAAAATTTTATAATAGAGATGGAATATTCCTTGAACCACGTGAAAATACATTGTTATTGTTATTTACTGGAACCAGTATCAGACCAAATTTGCGATTTTAATAATTTTTCGTTAGTGTTGGCAATTTTTTCCAGCTTTCTGCTAAATATTTAAAAAAAGGTATATTTTTCTTACCTGATCGAAAAACCCACAATCCACTAGTTGTAAATACATTTTCGCCACGTCTCTTCGATGTCATCAAAGCATGCTTCTTGGGATGTAGATGCTTGTGACTCAATTTCAAGCTAGATCACCTTTATTACAAACAGAGACTGCTTTTTCTAAAGATGTAAATTCATACTTCCACAAAATGAAAGTTACGCAAGCTGCAGGACTCGGTTCCACCGTTCTTATACAATTATGTAACAAAGTCAATTTAAAAACACAAAATAAATGTTTATATCCGGTTTTTGGGTTTTGTGCATTTGCTTCTATATCTGGATCTTTTGGAAATCGATAAAACAAGCACAAAACATTATTTTATAACTTGATAAAATCCGAATATATTAGATAACTGTTTACTAAAATTATATACGCTTATTATTTTCTAGTTTGCGTTAAACTGAATATGTTTTAACGCAGAAGTTCGGCGTTTTTAAAGTATACCGCGATAAGAAAACATTAATTATACGTAAAACACCGTTTGTTTAGCAACAGCGCCTAACCTAACCCCAAATTACATCGTTAGCACTCGTGACGCGTGTCGAAAGACGTGTACCGGTTTTTCTACCTCACGCATTGAGAGTTCGAGCCGCGTTTTCGTTTAAAAACTATCGAAAACTACAGGTGTCGGAAGTACTCGCCTCAATAATGTCACTTTCATGCGTAATTCTTCACGCGACGAAAGATTTATTTGAACATTTTCAATATAAAACCGAAACGCCAAAAGTCGTCAGGTGGCGCTGCGGCGTTTCTGCCATGACCACGAGCGCGTGAACGCGATAACTAACCAATATAATATAGTTGTCTATGAACGTGATCTCGGTCAAGCGATCCAGTGTGAAGTAATATTTTTAGGCCCGAATTTTCGAGAATACATATCCTTCGTCTTGTTCCCTTGTCGTTAGATCGTCGATGACTAATTTCCGTTTCACTTCGTGACGTTTATAGCGCCTGGCGGTCGATAAACCACCGTGAAAGTTAATAGTTATAGTGCCTTAACACGGATTCGGGACTGAAGTAAATAAATTAGTAAAATATTTTGGCATATTAAATTTCCGTGGTATATAGACCAAACAACCGAACCAAAAACCCTTGCCGTAACAAATCTGACGAACTGTATCCGCAGACGCAGCTTCTTAGTAAAACTGAGGGGCACTTGCAACTTCCACATTGAGTTACCAATGAACAAAATTCGCTTCCGCGCTCTCTTCCCCCGCGTCCTATCACAGAGCGTTCCGAGTCTTTTGGCAAAAAATTTCCAGATTTATAGTTACCAGCCGAAAGGAAAGACTTGTTTCTCGTAGCGCTTTAGATTATACTTTTGATGATCAAATTGCTTCTCTCGAAAGGTGCGAATAATTTTAACTGTGACTACTCATACCTGGTAGCTTTAGTATTAGCATTTAGATAATAGAATTATTGTGGGATATTCCAATACGATCTTTTCGCATCTCTGTGATTGACGGAGACGATACGGTGTGGTGAGAGCTTGCAGTGAGAAATACCTAGGCTAGATTTGTCGTACTCAAACGTTCAGAGAATAGAATGTAATGTGATAATTTTTATTAGCTGCTTAGCTGGCGAGGCATCGCACCATGTGAACATTGGTTACCTTTATGCAAGGTAATATGAATTAATAGTAAATTATTGGCATTTTCTGGACCATTCGCGTAAGTAATTAATAACGTACTTACGGAATTATTTTCTATATAAACATTTCGGGAAATGTCCTATTGATTGTGATCATGCTTGTGGGTACGTAATAATCTCGACTGTAGTTAGTGAAAAGCATTTTTTTTAGGTTCTCGAATGATAATTGCTGTACATAAATTTCTCCTATTAAAAGCATTCTAGTTTAAACGGTAACAAATAAATGCTCATCTGCATTTTTGTATATGTTATTTCGACAATACATAAATTCTTTTCCTGTAATAAGTTTGTTATATATTAAAGTTCTAAATATATGTTGAAATTATTTTTTATTTCAGTGCATTCCAGAACCCCATAATTCTCTAAAAACAAAAACCAACAATTTAAACCAACCAAACAATTTTGCAAATACAAAATTATCTAGTATATAAATTGAATCATAAATTTATTGAGTTGTTTCGCTTAATACACAATTAAAATTAACATAAGGCTAAAAATTAACATTCAATTGACAAAAATAATGTGCCACCGCGTAAAGCTAAAACTAAATGTAGGACCGAACCTCCCTGCACTTTGTAATCTTGGGCAGTCTTTTCATCATTCCTAAAATATACAAAATATATGTTCAGACCGCGATGAAATGCTACGAATCGTATCACGATTACGAATCCCATGCACCAAAGGAGGAACTTACATTTGCTTCCCCGAAAATATCAACCTTTGCTGTTGCGGAGGAATTCCTTCCTTTTCTTCAACGCGTTCCTTGATCCTTTCTACTTTATCCGTTGGCTCGATATCTATTTCGATTTCTTTTCCTGTGAGGGTCTAAAATTAAGGGACTATTATTGTGCCAATAGCATTTGAACAATTCTTTTGCGGCAACATAACCTATAAACACACCTTTACTTTTATCAACATTTTTAAATCGTTAAATCAACGAACACTTTGTAAGTCGGGTTTTGCAACGTTTCGGTCGTAGTCCAAAGAAAACGGAACTGAAATCAAGCCTTTTGAATCATCTACGAACGAATTTGATAGAAATTTTCATTTAACTGACGCATAGATAAATGACACTGGGAGGGTTGTGGAAAGATTTTATCCAACTGACAAGCCCACAACCAACAAAAAAGTAAATCCAATATTTCGAAATTATAATAGACCTCGGGCGACATTCAGTCGTGAGCGGTTTAACCTCCGTACGTTCCCAACAAAACCCTTTGTAATAGTCTCCAAAAATTTTGATACCGATTTTAATTATGTGGTTTTCGTTTCCTAAGTGTTTAGTGAAAATTTTCAAGTGTGTAATCGCTGTCGGCTCCGCTGTTTTTGTCATCCACCCCGGTTAAAGGCCGGATGGGTGCGAAAGGTCCTTGGTGGAAGAGGGGGTGGCCGTTTTTTGTTATCGGTCAACGTCCTGTTGGTAATCCAAGAGCAATGTTGGTAATAGTTTTCTTACTTGTTGGTCTGTAAAAAATCCTCAGCGGATGTCACGTATTGGGCGAACGCCTAACGCAGTCTAGCTCAGCCGAGAGCAAATACTATTTTCTCTCTCTTTAGATCCTCGGATTTCAAAGTCGTAACTGTGGTTTTCTTTAGGAAGTGTTGAGAAAGTAGAAATCGTGTTTTTTTAGTGAAGTATTTATTAGGGTAACATGGATTGTTGCCATCGATGTAAAGTTCTAAAACGCCAAGTGCGAGTATAGTGGTTACGCTATGTCCTATATCGCTAGCCAATTCCTTTTCAATGGATGGCTTCAATACAGGCGCTTTAAAACCAGTACACGTAAGTAACACATACAGGTATACAATTTTGTATAATAAAATATAAAACATATAATAACAACGTCTGGAAGACAAAAATTATTTTATACAAAGCTACCTATATATCTCATACACTTCATAACAACGAAAAACATTTAGAACTATAACAAATTCTAATACTGCTACTGTTGGACAGCTTACAATATATTTAAAAACACGTACTTATATGTATTTGTATAACGGTATCTTTATTAAAAATATACTGAACATTCAACTATCCGAGAGGCTAATAAGATTCTAAGTTTTTTTTGGTGTAGTAGGCCTTTTCGACCTATATATTGATAGCTAGCATAGTGTAGGACTTTTCCAAACCTATTTAATACAGACGCAGATGAATTCGAGCTCCTAACCTCTCCATAGATATAGTTTATTACGTATGCGAATCCTTTCAACATATTTTTGATTGTTAATCGATATCATAGTATGATTTATCTTCGCGAAACGTTCATTTGGCACAACTGTTTAGCAGTTATGAGCAAAAAATCGTGTGCGTATGTGGGACAACGCTGCGGGACTGTCAAATCGCGTTGTACTCCCTCATGAACCCTGTAATAATTGTGTGCAATAAAAAAAAACTCCCTCGCAGCGCCACCTAGACATCTGCAACTAATCCGTTCGCGTGTCGGTATTCTGTGGCGTTGACGTTTACATCTTCATTTACGATATCGTTAGTTATGCACGTTCGCGGTGATTTATACTTCTGCCAAGGGTAATTTCTGCTTTTGCTTTTCTCTGGTGGTTCAAACAAGTCGGCGTATAAAAATAAATCAAATTTGGTAAGTGACTTTTGAGCAATGCGCTTATTAATGTCAGTCGTGTGTGTGTCGTACGCGGAAGGAATTCGTGAAACGACCCGTCGTCCGTCATTTTATTAAACAATGAGCTAATTGTTATCGAGACCCCTCGTAGCGAGGTAGCGTTTTGCGTAAGCGTCCGAGAACGTGGATTAACCGTCGGACAAACTGGGCGTCACCCAGCCGTACTTGTCGTGAGTCCGTACCAGCGACCTGAAACTCTCCTCCGCCATTTTTTTATTGAACACCTTGAGGCCCTTGTTTTTGCGCTGAATTCTGCCCTGGCCCTTCACCACGCTCGCGGCGAACTGCATTATCACCGCCTCGACGGTGTAGGCTGACGCCCAACCCCTCGGCGTCAGCAGTTCCATGCATATCGCGCCCCCTAAAACGAAATGATGCCTTTTTCCGGTTATTTCAGCGATCGGTTGAAAATATCGTACGAGGTTACCAGTTAACGAACTGTGGAAGTGTGTGCGATGTGGTTTTTTCTGTTTAGTCGTCGGGATACGCGGATGATTGCGGATTTGTAGTAGGTGCTTATATCGGTTCCGGAAATGGCCGCATTCGCGTACGAACGATTTTGTAGGCGCAGAAACTCAAAGTAAGGAAGAAGAACCTTTGACTAAAAGTGATGAGATTACGTCGTGAAAAGTTTTAATATCGGTCTGAATCAAGTGGTTTGTTTTGCAAAGCCCGGTAGACACGATGCAATTTCTATAGCCGGAAATTTGACAGATAAAATTGCCAGTTACTTTTTCCCGAATTTAATAAAAGTTAATAAAAAAATAAATTCGTTTTAGAGAATACATACGTTAATGTAATTAGTAAATGTAGGATTTTATGCAGAACTTCAAACCAACATCCTCATTTCTTTCCGTTTTTAGTATTTGGATTTTCTTATAGACCCAAAGGTCGCTATGTGCGTGGCAAAGACTACAAATATATGTACAAATTGCATCGAATTTAAGAGTTTACGGAAAGGAACCATTGCACATGGCGGACGTTTGTTCCAGTTTGGGTCCAAAAAGTTAGAAATCTGTTGAAAAATTTTGTCATTTGAATGAATTTATTTTAGAATATCTTTTAATTGAATTCTTAGAATTAGTGCTTGTTTTATGCGGTACGTGGAGGTCTATGGATTTGTATTGTACATTGGTCGGTTTCGGGATGTCTTACATTCACGCTGGTATCCAGGCCAGGTAGGATCGGATATCCCGTCTGAGATAATTGCTGGAGGCGTGAGATGATTATATAGAAGTTTGACTGGACGATTATGGACTAGTCGTATTAGAAATAAAAGTAGAAGTAACCCCGACCAATGTCGGTAATGGGCGCATGGTCGTAGTAGTTGTGCCTCACTGTTTGTGAAACGTATTAGAAGAAGATGATCTATGAAATTAAAGTTATCGGTTGACGCGACCGGTCGTACCTTCCATGACGAATCCTTTCTCGATCCTGGGCGAGATCACGCGGACAAAGGGCGGCGCGAATGGGAAATTTTCCGGGAACACGAGATGCAGCAGGATGTAGCGGATGCCGAGCTCGGTCATGTCGCCCATCAGTTCGCTGTCGTCGTCTAGTTTGTACAGTTTCACGTACCATTCGAACAGGTTGTCGTCGATCAATTCGACGGTGAACACGGGATCAGTTTTCGACTTGCAGATTCTGCGAATCGACGCGGTAGTTAGTAGATACAATTTTAGTGCGGCGTTGTTCTGTGGTACCTCTGCAAGTCGTGGAACTCTTTCATGAGCCGCCTCGCGCGTACCGTCTTGTTGTGAGCTCCCTCTTCCGTTTTATTATTGTCTTTCGCGCCGAACGAAGTGGAGGAAGCCTGCTGGCTCGACGACGCGGGCGATACGGTGTCCCGATAACCTTCGCAGAGATCAAAAATCGGTTAGGGTCGCGAAACGCGTCTTCAATAAGCGACTCACCTCGTAGGAAACGTCTTGCGGGCGAATCGCTCTCCGCGCCTTTCGTTTTTCTAACCTCATTTTTGTTGGTCAGTTTAAAGATGCGCCTGAAAACGGCGGTGACTCGCTCTTTGGGCTTGACGTTCATGTTGGCGCGCGAGGTGTCCGCATCAGTGGTTTTTGTGCAACGTGCGCGTTTATCGTCGCTCGGGAATCTGCGAAAATAGCGTCGCATTATTAGTCGGCGCGCTATCGCTCCCGCTTATCTCGAGTTGGATCGTTGAACCCCTCTGAATAAGCGCGTTATTGTAGTCGCACAGGTTTGTTTGGCGGAAACGAACTTATTAAATCTTCATGATTTATGGCGGAGACGAAAATAAATTGTTTGGATTGTTGCGTTATCGCTCGTCACGCCCACGAGTAGGTGGTGGTCTGTGAAAACGGGTGGTTTGGTTTCACTTTGAAGTAATTTTAGCGTTTCCCGTTTCAGGTTTACGGGCGAGACCCAAAAAGTCAGGGGTTTGCGCAGTTCGTTTGACAACTGTCAGAGAACTGTCAAAAACAGTAAATTATTCGACACGAGCGTGGAAAAATTAAAAGAATGAGTTTAAAGCTTATAAAGGCTAATATTTATTGAATTTTTAGTTTATTTGCGCTAGATTGACCTAATAATTAAAGAACCGAATCACTTATATTGTGATTGGTGCATGGACAACAAATATAACTCCGAAACATTTTATTACCCGCACAAGTAGGTACAACTTTCCAGAAGGGTGGGATTGCAAGTGAGGTTCGCCATCTAGGCACCTTATCAAGCACGAAAGGTATATTTGTTTGTTAGATAACGCTCTTACTAAAATCGTGACGTCATATCGAAACCATAGTAAACGGGTACTGACGTCCGAAATGGGGTTCTAGTATCTGCGGCTTGCGTAGTTTGACAACTGTTAGAGAACTGTCAAAGACAGTCATGTGATTATTCGACACGACGGTTGAATTATGAATAATGCCAGCCAAGATACAAACTGGACGGCGAAAAACGAAGAAGAATAAAATCCAAAATGCATTCCGTTTTCTCTCGCTGACGGAGGCGTAATCCGTATGTATCATTCCTCAATTCCTCAGAATTAGGCGTCTAATTTAAAGATGGTAAAATACATGATGTTAATGCTGACGATGTGGTTTAGAAGCTTAAATTAAAATAAAGAACCGAATTGTGACTTGTGCATAGGCAAAAAAATATAATTCAGAACTTGCCAGAAGGGTAGGAATGCAAGTGCGGTTCGTCATCTGGGCATATTATCATACAACGCCATTAACTGCAAACGTACTTACATCCGAAACTGATTTTTGCTATCTGTAAGCGGTTTGACAACTGTCAGAGAACTGTCAAAAACAATAATGTGATTGTTCGAAACAACGGTTGAATTATGAAAAACAAGGGGTTTAAAGCTTATAAACACTAATATTTTCTGGATTTTTTAGTTTATTTGCTTATTTAGATGCACTTCATAATTGAATTCTTTTTATACCCCGAAAAAGCTAAATGCGCGAGCAACGATGCAAACTATACCACCGCGTATTCTTGGTTGACGATTTGGGAGTAAAATTTATAGTTTTCCGGACTTTTAAGCTAAGTTTGGAAGCTTTCAAAATTGCAAATGGAGGTTTTTCCAATGCAATAAACTACACACGGGCGATCTCGTGTGCATCTCAAGAACCGCATGACATACAACGCCATTAATTGCCAACATACGGACAAGAGGCATACGCATTTGTTAAACGACGCTCTTATAAAATTCGTGACGTCATATCGAAACCATAGTAAACGGGTACTTACGTCCGAGACGGGTTTTTGTTATAGGCGGGCGGGCAGGTGAAAAATATCCTCTCGTGTGTTTTGTTTACGCCATGGTGTCAACAATGGAAAGTTGTGTTCCGTGTATCGGGTGAGCGAACCGAACGGCGACGCGAAACTAGCGGACGATGCCGTCCGACTTACCGACGCTGTTTTCTCTGCATTTTTGTCTACGTTCGTCGGATTTTTTTACGCGACAATCTCGGTGCGTAGCCTTTGGTCGACCTCTCCGCGATAACATCTGACGGCAACGATGTCGTGCGCCCTTCTTCGATTGCGCGCACACTTGCTGGACGATCCGCGGATCGATCCCGAAATACGTCACCGTCGTAGGCACGAAATCGACCAATAAAAGATCTCGTCGCTGCGCGTCCGTAAAGTCGAAGATTACTGCCATGTTTGGGTAAACCAAAATTGGGTTAACAATATGTATTTATATCGTTATCTAAACGAAAGTAGGTGAAAAAAACAACATTCTGCCGGTCTCTGACGTATTCAACATAATTTTAATATTCGCTGATGACTTTACGGAGTGCCTGTCAAGTGGGCGGTGTGTCGACGTTTGCGAAACGGAGAGGGACGCGAACGTAACCTCCAAATTTGCGATTTAGGCGAAGTAAACATGAACGAAGAAATAGACGAGTCGGAATTTTATCACCAGGACTTCACTACTGCTTCCGATTGGGAAATATTTATAGCTCGTATCGAAGAGATCGTGAACCAGTGGAAAAACGAGGGTTACGCTTCAGGCACGATCGACCGAGGGCCGTGGCTCGTGAAAAACGAAAAACTCGCCTTCATCGACACGAATTTCGACATTTTCGCGTATCGAAAAGTCGATCGGCCCGACATCAAGAAAGATTTGGACAGTCCGCGACACGTTATCGATAGCTGGCACGATTTCAGCTTAGAGGACGAGACGACTAGAACGCGAGACCTGTGTCTGTCGCATCGTTACGGGCTGGACGAATTCATCGTGCTTCGAACGTCTGACAATGTCGATATAACGAGCGAGAGTAAAATCAAAATTTTACTGAGTTCCCTGTACATAGCCTCCGGAAACACCCGTTGCAACATACCGATGTTTGTCCAGATCAGGGAGGCTTGGCAACATTTATATTTGGGCGTTTACGAACTGGACAATATCCGTACCGATTTCGAGATGGTCCATTTGAAACGCGGCCCCCAAAACTGCTATTACTTGGCGGGGCTTTTGGAACTGTTCAAGAGCAAAGTGAGGTCGCCGTGTACTCTTGAAAACGTCGTCGTTTCCGCCCAGTCGACGTACGATTTGGTAGATTTCGGCGCTGCGCTTTGGAAACAAGAAACCGGTCTGGATAACATGGACGTGGAGGACTTTTACGTCCTCCCTTTCGGTGTGGCGATCGAACCGATAACCGGTATAGTTTTCAAAGCGACGTGGCGCCACCTATCCGAATATTCCGTGGTGGACACCGAGAGCTATACGGATTTCAACCCCGTCAACGCTCCCGATTGGTCCTGCTCTGCCAAATTCACGAAAGATCCGTTGTGCTTGCTCGGCGACAATTTGAACGAGCTGCTCCACATTGTAAACAGCAAGACGAGCATTTACGACTTGCTCGGCGATTTTATCGCGATGCCGGTGACGGCGGCCCACAATCCTCTGGATCGTCTTACCCAGCCGGTCATTCCTAGCGTCGCGACGTTTTTAAGCCGCGCGGCGCGTAATTCGGTGAGCGAGACGCGAAAAAGCGCCGCCCCCATCCCCAAGGCCGTATTGGAGCCCCTGTTGTATTTCCTTTTCCCGGACGCCGACGAACGATCAGATTATCCCTACGGATCCGCCAAAGAGGAGGAGCCTTTGGCGGAAAATGAGGTAATTTTTTGCTTTCCTATTTTTGTTGATTAGGGTGTAGCCCCATATAAATTATATTGTCCAAGGAAAAAAGGTACAAAAAACATATAAATCATAAAGGTCAGTTTTGATTACAAAGATTTCCGCCCTCACAGTTTTTTGAATAAAATTTCTTCTTTTCTTCAATTTCTTTCCCACCAAACGAAAGGAAGTTCCGGAAATGTATTGTTTCCAGGATACAGGACGTTCATTTTTTTTATTAATGTTTTTTATTTTGGCTGAAATTTGGCAGCATTGTTTCTAGTTACCAAATAAAAACAATTTTGTAATTGTAAATTTTTTAGTAATAAATATTACCTTTTTTAGCTGAATTGTTCGCAATATTATTGGAATGTTGAAGAATATTTTTATGTTAAATGCACATGTAATCAAATAGTTTTTATCTCTTAAATAAAGCAAGATATGAGAAAAAATCAAGAGATGAAAAAGTAGTGGTTTTAATCGCCCTGTCTTATGGAAATGTCGTAATGAAATTAAAATCAGTGATGTACATTTTTATCAATAATTTGTTATAAAGTTGCGCCCCCGCCCCACCCTAAGGCTACTGTTTAATTTATATTTGGTTAGGGCCAAGTCCCTAGAAACAACGTTGGTAAATTTGAAATAAATCCGTGAAAAGAGATTTGAATTACTTTAAATATTATTTAAAAATAAACTTTTACACCCTGTATCTAGGAAACAATGCATAAGAGTTATCACCCCCTTTTAAACACCCTGTATAATTACAAGTTTTTTTCACCAGAAGTTACCTCTATTAATGTGCACAATGACTTACACGCAGACGCCATATAACTATTAATTAACATCAGATTAAGAAGAACCTTAGTAAAATTTTTCAAATAAAACTATCTATATTAAAATCCTTTACATGGAAAACTGATAGTTTCGTACTTAAGTCTTTTTATTTCATTGAACAGTTAAATACATTAGATCCACAGTATCATCTGGTTAGATTCGACTTAGAATCCCTTTTTACTAACATCCAAGAATCTGGAATCAAACCTTATCATCATAATTGAAAAATGCTTGTCTGTATCATTTTTTTCTTGTAACTGTCAAATTTATGAACAAACGTCGGGAACAGCTGTGGGTTCGCTATTATCACCAGTCATCGCGAATATATTTATTTATTTTTTAGAAGACATCTTCCATCTAAAACCAAAATAATGGAAACGCTAGGTTGATGATACTTTTATTATTTGACCTCATCTCTCCGTGGTTTATACGCCCTAACATACGAAAATCAGATCTAATATTGAGTCATTCTGTTTATAGAAACTTTACGCACACAGACCAATACTTTATAACGCATTGTCACATCACCATCTTCTCCATAACCTTCCAAAACCAATTAATTCGAAAGCAACCCCACACTTGCCACCGTTGCCCTTCTTTACATTCAAAACATCGCATATCAAAAGGTCTCAAGAAATATAACGTCAAAACCAGATTTACCATTTGTCAAAAAAGCTCTCAACATTAAATGTGCCCTAAAACCTCATGATTACATCTGCGCAGTAGGAGAGTATATGCTCGGTTAGTCTAAAGTTTGGAATATCGTTGTGTTTCTAGTTTTGGTTAGTTCGTGTTTCAATAAAATCTTTTTTAAGTTAACTTGAACTATGTATACGGTTCAGATTCGCAACAACGTGGCGGAAAAATTCAAGGGATACAAAACTTGCGCCGAAGACTCACTGGTCTGGAGACTGGCGACGGTGTTGTCGCATTGCCTTCAGAGCCTCGGCGGAGTTAAGGCGTTCTGCTATCTGTGGTACGAGTTCGTGCAGGAAATGCGCTACCGTTGGGACAAAAGCTTGTCGATTCCCGGGTGAGTTGTCACTATCCCACAGTGTGAGTCAACTCGATCGGTTAGCGCTTTATTTACTAAAGGATTGCCGTATAAACGCGGACGTCATCGTAGCCGGGTGGCTGGTTATATAAGACGCTACATAGCGGGTTCCGAGTTCGATCCTTGTTTCGGTACTTGACTTTTTTCCGAATAAATTGAAGGGAAACTCTCAACGTTGAAAATTGAGTGACGTACGCAATCGTCGGGTTAATAGGAACAAAAGGCCCCACAGTTCATCAAAAAAAGTAATTTATGTATAAGCAATTACAAATTGTAAAAAAACGCGCTGGGTTGTGACGTCAATTCGCTCGTTAAATTACGCGGCAGCCGGACGGTGCCGTATAGAACGACTACGCGTAATTTTAGTCTTAATCCTGACGTTTGCTTTTGTTATTTTGTGTTTAGTATCAAATAGAGGTTGAAAATGACCGAAGCCGATTTTTCAAACGGTCTATCTGATAATTTACGTTTAGCGGATGTGTTTATGGTGACTTCTTACATACAAAACACCGAAAGTTTTTCTTTTGCTGAGGTTCGCGGTGATATAGCTAAAAGGAGCGTTCATAGACAATTTAGCCGCTAGTGTTAAACCAATATAATATCCTAATTAGCCCAAAGTTTTATGTTTAAGTTAAATTAAACACCAAAAAAAGAAAAAGGAATAGTATATTACTTAACATGTGCGGTAAACGGCATTTGACTCACGAGTTTACTTGACACGAGCGGAGCGTATTTTTTTTGCTAGATAAATACAACAAGTTCGAACGGCAGTCAGCTAAATTACTTGGCATTACACTTGGTAGTAGACTTGACTGGAAAGATCATATTTTATCTCGTAAGCGAAAACTTCCAACTTATTCGTCCTGAGAAAAATTAGGGAAAGCCTAGACCCAAATCCCCTAATGGCATATGACACAATATTATGGGGAAACTCTGTCAATGCTGTTCGAATATTCAGGATGCAGAAAAGGGCTATAAGAATTCTTGCTGGGGCTATGCAAAATGACCACTGCACTTTCTATTTTAAAAAATATAAGATAATGACACTGCCCTATATCTATATTCTCCATAATCTTTTAGAAATTCCCAAACATACTAATATATTTGAAGGTGTGCCTCATAGTTTCCAACACGTGCAAAAAAATCTTATAAGAGTTCCAAAGCACAGACTTGTTACATCAGATAAAAGTTCTTTAAACATTATGCTGCCAGATAGGTACAGACATATGGCATTTGAGGTGTTCAAAACAAATATTAAAGTGTTGTTTATTCAAAAATTATTTCTATAGTATGCACGAGTATTCCATCAAAATAAAAAAAATAAATTTAAAATCCTTGGCTTACTGAAATGTGTGAAGATCATAGCATACTTACATCTTGCATTTTCTGTAGGATTTTTATACTCCGTGTTAATACGTTTTTTTTTACACCTTTATACTTTTTACTTTTTGTTTTTGTATTTTACCTTATATTGACAGTGTGCAATTGTATTATTAATGTACAATATGTGGTTAATAAAATTCTTCTATACTGTATTGAAGAAATAAAAAAAAAGTTTCGAACATTAAAAATGTTAGGAAGATGAATGGCTATAAATGGTAAGTCGTGATGAGAGATCAAAAGGAAACTACCGAACATTGAATAAGTTTTAATTCTAACCCTAATATTGATAATTTACGTCGATCTTGTTTGAGGGGAGATGACCCTGCTCCCTTACAACGGCACCAAACCGTTCCTGGCGGTCGGGTTCTTGGCCATGTAAATTTCCATATCGTGATCGGTCCAGTTGTCCGAATTGTCGCAGTAGTTGTTCAGACTGTGCGTCGAGTCGGCGGTACTGTAGCGGCTACTAGGCCTGCGATGGTGCTCCCTGGTCCTAGACCGGGGTCTGCTGCCGCGGGTCGACGAGTTCACGGACTGCATGCCCCCGTGTTGAGAAGGCATCCGCGTGGACATGCGTTCTGAGAGCATCGCGAGCGATTGTCTCGAGTGTCGAATTTCTAGGGAAACGCGACGTTTCGAGCTTAATATGGACGTTTCAAAGAGACTCTTACCGGGTCGTGTGTTCAAAAGGTTGTTTTGGAAGTCGTTGGGCGCGACGTATCTGCCCGAATGGTTCGAGAAGCTGTTTTGCGACTGACCGTCCGGCACCGATCTCGTCTTCGCACCCTTTGAGCTAAAATTGGACCTCAAATCGTCCAAGAGAGCGGGCTGCTCGGCGTACATGCGGGGTCTTTGGTTGTGAATGCTGTACGCGGATACCTGATCCCAGTCCTGAAATCGATAAAGCTAGCAGGTTTTGTTCTTGTGGTATGACACCGAAGACTACCTCCAAGGATAAACTTGCGGTCCACACCTGCGTGTGGACCGCAGTACACCAAGTGCTACTTTGTTAAACATTACAGTATTCAAATCCGAACGGAAGAAGACCCAGGACGAAAATAAAGATTTCTATTCCAAGTAACGGCGTTTCAAGCAGAGATTACCCCGTGAAAGATTAAAAATATTCGTAATGATGGCAATTGTTGATCCACACGGACAGTCAAGCGCGTACAAAAGCCAGGCAATGCAGCAAAATACGTTTTGGGTTCTCATAAGGGATAGCAAATTGCAAACTCGCACATTTTTTTAAAAGAATTTTCTGAAGTTTTGCTACAGGCTCGTATCGTGTTTAATATACTTTATTTTGCGTATATCATAATCCGGAGATCGTGGAGGCCATCTTACAGGTTCTCGTGTTACAAGACGCCGAAAAGAATCCCTATTCTCGTTTAAATAATTTTTAGGATACGTCCCTAACTAGATTTACTTTCAGACAAGCAAATATATCTGGAAACGGTTGTCGTCTCTGCGGACATCTTATATAAACAAAACACAATTCTACAATATAAAAATTATACTGACTATAACCCTTTAAGAACCTTACCTCTGGTAATATAATTCCGAAGCTTCTTGGGCATTTGCATAGCAGCAACATATCATATTTTTCAGAATTTTTACACGCTGCTATTATTATAGAAAATTAATTAAAATTTAATAAACACAGGAAGAACAAATGGATAGGTAATAAAAATATAATTAGAAACTGACAGTGTCTTAAGTTTTTGACTTTTGTTTTGAATTGATGAGTCAGAGCCAATTATCTACCTCTTCTTCTTCTCGTTCCTTCTCCTAACGGAGGTTGGATATTATTATGGCTATCCTAAGATTGTTAACAGCTGCGCTGAATAGTTGTAATATTTCCATAAGTTTTTGGTGTTGAACTTTATCAAACGCCTTTTCAAAACCAACAAAACAGGCGTAGACATCAAACAAAACAAAATACAAAATACGTTTTTAATTCTAAGAACCAAGAGGGCCATGATAATTTTGTTGACGGCATCTTTAAAAAAGTAGCACAGTGCCCCGTCAATCGCGACTCCCCATCTTTAAAAATAACCGAGATACCCCGTAGAAACGTCCAAAATGGCATACCCTGTACAGCAGACCTGCTAAGCTACAAAAGAACTTAAGAATAATGGTGACGTCAATGCCGCCTTAAAAGGCATCAAAGCCTACTGGGAGTGGAACAAAATGCTGGTTCCCGACCAACCACAGACAATAAGTACTAACTAATCGTGTGATTCTTGATATGGTACGGATCGGGAAACGGATTAGAAGGAACCTACTGACCTTCGTATTGTTGAACGCATTCAAAGTGACCAACGACGGCAGCTGGTCGACGACGGTCGGCGTCGGCATCGCGGCGCAACAGTTCACAGGCAGACCCGTGACCGGCATCCGATGCTTCATGCCCAGTTTGTGTTGGTGCAGTTCGTGCAACTTCCGCGATCTTCTCCTGGAGGCCGCTACGGTCGCATTTGCATTAACGCCACTCATTCGGAGTTTCGTTACTTACCTATGAAAACTATGACCGCCACCACTATGGTGCCGCAAATGGCCGCGCTCGCCACTATCGTGATCTTGTCCATGTGCGAGGTTACCGACGACACGGTCCTGACTTCGCGGCACTGGGCGTAGGGCACGGTCTCCGGGGTGACGTTGATCTCTTCGAGCGATACTACGCACACGATGATGCACTCCTTTAAGAAACATAATCCCAGTGATATTAATCATTATTTCACTTCTGTTTTTAGCAACGTTAGCAATTGCCCCGAAACCAGTTGTTTCTATAAAAATCGCGAGTTCAACTCGCCACTATTGGTCTAATTCTGCCGGTGTTGATTGTGTACCTGCTAGAATGCATGCTTCACATGACCCTCCATATTTTACCATATTATTACATAGATTTTGACAATGTAAGGTCTGAATTTCTCCCTGTTTCATCAGGTGTACCGCAAGGTTCTGTCCTTGGACCTATATTATTCTTAATTTATATTTCTGATATTTATACATCCATCGAATAATTGAATTTGCATTCATTTGCTGATGACCCTTATCTATTTTACTTTCTTAGACTTGTTTCACTTAAATGAAGAGCTGTTCATTTTTTGCTATGTTTTAGAGCGTTCTCCAAAAACTTACTTTTCGATTTATAGATTTCACGCTATCAAAACAGAAAACGCTGTTGTAATTTTTAATAATATACCCGATTCGGAAAAATGTAAAAAATATAATATATTTATTTTTAGTTTTAATAAATTTTTGTTGTTCCATGTTACTATTACATTTATCTGTTATACTATATTTATTTTATCAATGTATTTATAACTTCCTGTTTAGTTTTCAATTTAAACATTTAAGAGGTGAAGTGGAGTAACTTTTGCTAGACTTCGCCTCTTCTCTACTGTATATCTGTATATAAAGGCGATTTATTATTATTATTAGATTATCATAATTACCTGCGAAGGCACGTTCTTAATTTTAAATTCCCTCTCGCTCGCCTCGAGCGGCGGGCCCTGCTTGAAACCCTTGTCCCCGAAAAGTCTGTACACGACCCGGAATCCCAAAATGTTCACCGTCGACGAGTCCCACTGGATCACCACCGAACTGTCCTGTCTGTACGCGTTCTTCACGATCACTTCCTTCGCGTCGTCTATCCTGCCCCTGGCCGGGAACGCGTTCATCACTATCGCCGGCCTCTGCGTAGTTTTCCACACTTTGGGTTTCGGTTTCGCGGCGGCCGTCGTCGAGGTCGACGTCGATACAGTCGTCGTGGTGATCTTGGTGGTGGTCGATGTCGAAGACGGTTTCTGCGTCGTGGTCGTCGTCGTCGTCGTGGTGGTCGTCGTCGACGGTTTTCGCACGGCGACCACTTCGTCGGACTCTTCGTTTATGACGGTCGCGACCCCTACCGGTTTGTGAGTTTTGCACACCAGTTCCTCCGGCTGAATGCTGTACAGCCCGCGGTCTCGGAACTTGGCCGGGCTGCCGCAGAACTGCGGGTTCCTCTCTCTCGACGTCACCTGAAGGTCCTTGTTCCTGATCCAGTCGATCACCCAGGCGAGGCGACAGTCGCAATGTAAGAACCTGCCGCCCAAACTCAGGCCCCTCAAGGTGGCGTTGAGGTGCGCCAACGCTTCGACGGGCACGTACGCCAACGGATTACCGTCGAGGGCCAGTAACGTGATGCTAGGGTTGCCGCGGAACGCCTCGTCCGGCAGTTCGGTGAGCAGGTTGAATCCGATGTCCAGCACGCGGAGCTCCGACAGTTCCCCTACGGCTTCGACGGGAAAGTCCGTCAGCAAATTGTTGAGCAGACTGAGCGAACTGAGCGTTTTGCGTACGCCGTGGAACGCGTGCGCGTCGAGACGCTGCAGCACGTTCCGTTCGAGGTTGAGTGCGGTAAGGGCGTCGAGACCTTCGAAAGTACGTCGCCCACCGTCACCCGGCAGCTCGGTCAAGCTATTGTGGGACAGGTCGAGAAACGCGAGAGTTTTCAGACCCCTGATCGCTGCCGGGATCTTCTTCTGACCAGTACCTTTGAGATTGAGGTTTTTGAGGCACTTGTCGAGTCCGCGGAACGTGGCGTTTGCCAGGGTGACGTTGTTGTCGGATAGTTTCAGGGTAGTGAGTTTCGATAAGGTGGCGAACGCGCCGTCAGGCACGGCGGCGATTCGGTTGTGACTGAGGTCGAGCAGCTGCAGATTGGTCAGCTGTTTCAGGGCGTCAGTGGGCACCAGGTTGAGGTCGTTGTCCTGCAGGTTCAGGTTTCGGAGGAACGGTTCTTGGCCGGCGAAGGCGCGGTTCTCCACGGTTTTAATGCTACATCCGGAGAGCTGCACGTTGTGTATTTCCAGGCCGACGAAGATGTCGTCGCGGAGCGCGTCCACCGTCGAGTTGTTGACGTAGAGGAGGTCGATCGCCGTCGTGCCGACGTATTTGTTTAGGGCTGCGAGCAGTTGGGGCCACGTCACCATGTCGCACTGGACGGACAGCTCCCGACCCAGATTGTACGAGCAGAGGCAGGATGATTGCAAGTCGGGCACTTGGTGGTGCCACGGGCACTGCGCGTCGATCGACGATATCAAGCCGAACACGAGGACGAGGGCATAGGCTGCCATTTTTTCTTCCGTCTGTAATGAGGACTATTCTCAAAGACGTGCTCGACATGGAACCCTTAAAATTGAAAGTTTGTTGTCCGTGCCAAATGTGCGGACGGGGGTTAATGCAAGTATGCAATGCAAATATTTCTTGCCCTTTTCGCAAAAACAGCAAACACGTGACGCCGCAGTATCTAACCTATGAAATGCCCGTAAAAAATGAAATTTTCGACATTTTTCATGAGAAGTATGTTCCAAAATTTATGTAAAAATGCATATTTTTTAGATCTAAAACTACGCCCCAGATAACGCTAAAACAAATATTCGGCCTTTGCACGAGCTCTAAAAAAATAACCATCCGTTTTTAAAGCCTTTGTTAAAATGTCACGGTTGATACGTCAATTAAGTAAACTACCAGCAAGCGTTAATCAACAGTTTCTCAACAGATGATTAGGATGTTTATTGGTGGATACGGGCATAAAGGTCGATATATCAGTGGTCGATATTTGAACAAGGATTTAAGTCTGTAAAAAATAAAGCCAAGGACAATTGATGTTATCCCGGCTTTCATCGTTTCGTAAGTTCAAGTGACTGAAAATTTTTACATGATCCCCGGTTTTGACATTCGATAAAGGATGTGATGATGTTTTTTCTGTGAAAAATGAAGAGACGGTAATGAAATGGGGAATTCAAGATTGTTATCCGTATGAAATGTTTGGATATTTATGTTATCGCAACTTTCATATTTTCTGAAGGCTAAAATGTCTACATAACCAAGGGATTGGATATTCAAGGATGCAAGTCATGGCGAAGAAACCCGCAATTGAAGATTGTTGGAGATATTAAGTGTTTGGACATTTATGTTATCCCAATTCTCATCCTTTCACAAGTTCCGATGACATGCCAGAAAAGATGAAGGTCATCTTTTGCCTGTAAAAAATTAAGCGGATATGAAGAAGTGTTTCCCTTATGAAATATATGGACGTTTATGTTATCCCAATTTTCATCGTTCACAAGTTCAATTGCCTGCAAATTTTTACATGATCCGGGTTTTGACATTCGATAAAGGATGTTGGTCATCTTTTGTCTGCGAAAAATAAAGCGAGGGTGTAGAAATCGACAATTGAAAATTGTTATCCATATGAAATGTTTGAACATAACCAAGAGATTTAACATTTGGAGATTTATGCTATATGAACTTTTTAACAAGGATAAGTTTGGCATTCACGTGTAGTCTAGTTTAAACGCTTTGTCGTAAATCGCCGTGCCCCCGCCGTTGCCCAACGTTGCGACGGGAACAACGCGACACCATTTTCTCGTCAGGTTTGCATTGTGTGGAAACGTTCGGAACAGAGACCAAACCAATTGCGACGTTTTCACAGTTTTTCTTGGGAACCTTGCGTCACCGCCGCTTCATATGCATAAACGGTTCTCCCAATTTCGCGAAAGTGTTACACATTTAATATTTAGGCCCGTGAGAATCTCCGATCCATTGTTTTTTCCGCATTAATGCCACCGCAAACATTTCGGTTGCCGTATATATATTTTTTAATTGTTCATTTCGTAATATTTCGTTTTATTTGGACGGGAATTACTATGACCCCGTTATAGGAGTTGCGAACACCAACCGCTAGTCCAAACTCTGTTTTGTAATCAATGAATTGCTACGAATGTAATGTCCTAACCTCACTTTTCTTGTTGCATGTGATCGGTTACATCGAAACTTTCAACCTGGGATTCTATTTAATTCGATGTCTTTCTACTGCGATCGTCGCGTCCATCGGAGCCATTAGATGTGTTGCGATTGTCTCTGTGGGGGCGGCACCTGAAAATAAATAGGCAAACGTGTGATTGACTACATTTTTGTTCATTCTTTTCTAATGATACGACTATACGAACGTTTCAAAGAAATTTTTGAAAATTTGGCCTTAATCGTTGTTTACTCCAGGGGTGGGCAAATACTTTAAAGCGCGGGCCAAATGAAATTTTCAAAATGTCTCCTGGGCCGGAGGACTATACCGCGTATGCTTTGCACAAGCGGATGTTTTGGATGGAGTTTTTTCCCTGCCCAATTTTTTTTTTTTTTTTGACAAAAACGCTAAGTATCATTTCAATTTCACGTGAAACTTTTCTGCATAGCACTTCTTGCAGTGCAAAAATAATATATCGTGTTCTGGTTGTAACTCTTTTACTTTGTCGCGAATTTGTTTAAGTAAGCCTACATTTTTCCCTGTTAAACTAGGACAACCATCCGTAGTGACGCTTACTATTTTATTCCAAGTTAAACTTACTTTAACTAAACACTCTTCAACAGCGAGAAAGAAATTACTTACTTATTAATGTTTGTAAAAAGATATTTTACCGTCCAAGCTTCATTGAAGTTTCTGCATTCCAAATCAACTTTTCTTTTTTTAGATTGACTCATTTTACAAAGGTCTACAAATAAATAATTTAATTAATACAATAAAATAAAACCAATGTTTTAAAATTTTACTTACAAAAAGTTCAATTTTATATTTGCAAACTAATATTAGACTCGAACAAAAAAGAGTATGCGATCAGTGCTAAATCAAAATTAACAATACGCGTGGTGCGATCTGTCGTCCCTCGAAAAGTGAGTCCACACGTGCATTTCGAACCTAGCGCGATCTCCTTTGTGTTCGACGAAAAAACTCGCGACATCGTCGACACAAGTGTAAAAGAGTTTAAAAAAATTTGCGTCCGGAATTTTTCAACGGGCCGGATAAAATTAGCAAAAGGGCCGGATCCGGCCCGCGGGCCGGCTTTTGCCCACCCATGGTTTACTCTAATAGAAGTTTTAATGTAGTAAGCCTGTCCTAAAGTCAGATTCTATTAAAGAGACTCATAATGCATAAAAGTTTTTTTGAATGCTGACATTTGTGAAGCAAAAAAAAAGAGCATACGGTATTTTAGGCCGTATTTATTTGTTGTTTATTGTTGCTTAACATAACCGACTATTCAGAACATACATGGACTTATAAGGAGATAGTAGACACTAAAATATTATGATGATATTCATATATTTTTTTATCGGTTGAGTTGATTAAAAAAAATTGAAAGAATGTTCAATTTTTCGAAGATATGTACCTACATCGAAAGCAACCAAATCTTAAAAGTTCATCATAACATTTTGATATTCAGAGATTGATAATTTTTTGTGACTAGCCATGGAGATATAAAAGTGGCGTCATGCCAATGATAAATGAAGCACGTGACGTCACTGCAAGTTTATTGAAAGTTTCCGTTAGCCGTTAAACAATGGACCTAGTCCCGGGACGATCGTAGAAAAACAGTATTCACAGACCACGGAAACGGTTAAAACGGGCGTCAGCTGGACGCGCGTAATAATCCGTTGTCAACGGAACATGGAAATTTATAAGGCCTTCGCACATTCCGTTTCGATAAAACGACTTCAGCGGCCGCCATTCGACCGGCGGAACTGAAAATTATCGATAGAAAGTGCGAGGCCGTTTTTCCAGCCATCCATCAATTTCTTTGATTTATTTAACCGTTTTGCATATACAGGGTGTCCAAATTGTGTGCGAAGGTAATATATTTTATTTATTATTTGTTTTAGCAAAAAATGTTTTAAATAGAAAAGTTGTAGTTTACAGGGTGATTCACAATTAGTGTTTTCGGATTTATGGCCATTTTTTCGTGTATTTAACACTCTTATATTTTTTACACCTTTACCGACAGCTTTAATTTTATTATACCAATATTTTGACAGTGGTAGTAGTCATTGATCCTATATTTGTCTTGAAGTTAGTTCGAATCGTTTGTACTGGGTGGGTGGAAATGAACAAAATTTCGTGAAAAATTCAAATAAAACAATCCGTATATTATAATTTTATTAATTACTATTATTAATGTCTCCATTAAGCATTTCCTATACTTAAACTTAATCTAACCAAAACTAAAAATAAATAGGTAATTTTTTAATTTGCAAATTGGCATGCAAATGTAAGTTTGGCAATGGAAATAGACAATTATTTGAACCCTGTCTGTCTGTCTGTTGTCGTTTGAATGGTCGCGCAGTTCATAATTTTATTTTTGTTTAAATCCCGGATTTACTAAATTATTTCCTCATTACATTTTGTATTAATTATCGGTATTTGGTTAGTAAGTATGCGTAAAAAATACTAAGTTTAGGTACAGGCAATTTTATTGTCGTAATGTACAACTTGTTCCATTTGAAAAAATTTTGATTTTCCACAAATTTATGAACCACCCTGTATATTTAAAAATAATTTTAAATTGTTTCTTTTGGTTTCATGTACAACTTTGGTATTTAACATTTTTCTCTAAAACAAATAATAAATCAGATATTATTTTGCACACCATTTGGACACTCTGTATACGAAGGCATCGGGCAAATAACCTACTTTTATCGGGCCCGGTCAAACTTAAACGCTAATAAAATGTACGTAATTCGACCGGTTGTCGCGTCTAACTGCACACAGGCAACTCGTTCCGGCGGAATCAGTGCGCGAGAAAAAATAATTGCTTTCCTTTTCTCCACCATCGAGAAAACCAAATACAGGGTGTTTCACGGTACCCTAGACGTTTACGCGCGAACGGTGCATTGGATTGTTCTGAAAATTTGGTTAATTGCTCTATCGATTTAATATATTTCTAATGTTGCGACGTTGCCGCTTCTACATGGAAATTTTAAATGGGACGCCATGTATATTATTACATTCCGATCCGTCAATTTCAACAGTTTTGCATACAAATGCTAATATTTAATAATTTTTATGTTCCCCATTTTAAATAATTGTGTTCTCGTTCTGGTTTATTTTTTCTTAATAATATATAGGTCATGAAGATATTCGGTATTGTTGGGAATAGGTAACTATTCTCCATAAAAATTTGAAGAAATCATTTTTGAGAAGCTTAGACCAAGCGGAATGAAATTATAACAAAAAAAACAAACTTTTTTTTTCAAAAATACGAAACCATCTAGAAAAAACTGACCACGCCACTGAATTCTACGCAAAATCTATATCGAATGCGCTTTTCACTTTTCAAAACTTCAAATATCCAAAATCATCCCAGCGTACGGGTAAAAAAGTAAATACCCTCGTCTGAAATTTGTCAAATAAAAACGTGGGATAGTTTTGCGCACTTCCGATTGCTCACGGTTCGATTCAAAACACGCAAAAAGTCCGTTTTTACAGCGCGGCAGTTTTTGTTCAAAACCCAGTTTAACCGAGAGACCGGTATTTATAACTTTCTCCCCGGCATCTATTGTTATTAATTTCAGTTATTTAACTCGTCGTTTATCGGTGCATTAACAAATAGCGGCAAGAAAGAACAATGACACGGACTCTAGCGATAAATGTTGCCCGATTCATATGAACAAAATTTTACTCTTACAAGTTATAAAAATATCAGTGAATTTATCTCATTATGGTGATAAAATACAAGTTACTTTGTACTTTGTAGCAACAGAAATCAGCAAACATTGCTGCTGACTATTTCCCATTGTAGTGTCTGCATAATATCCTGATGCTCATTTGATACGGCACCGAGATTCTCAGGAAAAATCTACATGGGAGTCCAAAAAAGGAATTTTTTGTGACATATTGCATCTTAAAACTTTATAAGCAGAAATAATTTCTCGAATGATTTGCCGGCTTTAGTATTCCCAAGAAAATTATGACATACATTTACAACTTTTTTTTTAGCTTTGTTCAACTTCGAATTAAAAGCTCCACCCGTCATAGGCTCGCGCATTTACGTACCCACAAAAATTCCTTATAATAATAATAAATTGCCTTTATTATTTGTTATTATACGGTAGAGAAGAGAAGAGACGAAGTCTAGCAAAAGCTACTCCACTTCACCTCTTAAATATTTAAATTGAAAACTTTGAATTGAATGTATTGAATGAATCAAATAATTTAGGCTCGAACGAATAAAATAGCTGGGTGTCATCAACAAATTCAAATATTCGATGGATGTATAAATATCAGAAATAAAATTTGCTTCATTGAAATTTTGATATAAGATATAAACCTGCACCATCCTTGTTCATTGCTTCCACAAAGTTTTGCATGAGTCGCAACTTTATGTGACGTGGTGGCAGAATATTTTTGTCACTTTTGGACTACTAAAGGTTTATGGGATACATTTTTGAGACCAGTAGTCAAGCTTTTTCTCTGTGGGCAAGTTTTGATTTCGTAATATTTTTCTCTTACGCGGCTGTCCCACTCTCATAGAAAACAGAACTTGGTGTATCCTCCTTGTAATCCAGTAAGTATAGCGACAACTTTTAAATCAGCACAAATATTCCAAAAGTATTGAGAATATTTTATTTTTTCAAATAATACCTCCAGATTTGCATAATTTGCATCTTTCTTTCATGTTTGTTACCTGTGCAAAGGATACTGATGGGTATTTATTCCCACTATGGAGTAAAAGGGCTTTGAAACTTATCTTTGAGGCATCAATAAAAAGTCTCCATTCATCAGAATTTTCGGGAAAACTAAGTTCTTGAAGAAGCCTCTGGTCTTGTGCGAAAATATGAGACTCTTGTACTTGTACTTGTACCTCAAGTGTCTAACAAGATCATTTAACTCAAATTGTTTAAGTAAATTAGGTTCTTTTGATGGACTTGAACATCGTTATTTTTTGGTGGAACTGGAGTGAAAGTGTCTTCACCACGAGGAATTGGTCTCTTTGCAAATGCGATGTTCGGATATATAGTCTTATTTTTATTTATATGTATGACATAATTTTTTGAATGATTTCATTTGAGACCAGTGTTGTTTTTTAACATTCAAAAACTACGTCACAACC